TTTAATAATACAATTATTATTATTTGATACTTCCTGACTGTAAGTATTTATAAGTAAAATATAGTTACAATCTTTGAGTAATAAATGGAATAAAATTGAAAATAAAACTGATGACTATTAATATAGGTAGGTATCTACTATTACTATCCATTTAAACATAATCATAATGACAAATTACATAGTTATGTACTTATATATACATTAATAATTAAATGGTAAAAGTGCTCATTAATCATTTAGGGAAGGAAGGGAGAATTATCACATCCAAAAGTTACTTAACCGCAAACTATGTGCAGTCCAGTATTAAAATATTAAAGGTACACATAAATTTAGCTTACATTCTCTAAAATGTATGTTTATAACGTATTTATATATCTATACTTAATATTATAAAGAGGTAAAATTTGTAAGTTTGTATGTAGGGGGTAATATTTGGAACCACTGGCCGGATTGCCAAAATTCTTTCAGTGACAGATAGCTACAAGGTTCCTGAGTGCTATAGGCTATAAAACATCACGCTACGATTAAATGGAGCTGAGCAGCGGGTGAAACCGCGCGAGAGTAGCCAGTATTTTATATTTTTAAGGACGATAGACATTTTTCCTACCCCACCTTTATGCCAGCCAAAGAAAACATGGCCAAAGTTAAATGTAAGATATATACAACTAGTTACCGCCCGCGGCATCGCACGTGTATCAAAGTAATGTACCTATATACCTATCCCGAGATTTTTAAAACAGCAGCGTTTAAATCAACAGCTATACCAAAACACGCAAACCAAAGTATAATGTATAGCCTATAGCACTCAGGAACATTGCAGCTATCTATCAGTGAAATAACTTTGGAAATCCGACCAGCGTTTCCAAAGATACATACATACATACATACTTTCAAATTTTACCTCTTTATGTCTTATATTGCCTACTTAGTATAGATAAAGATAAATTATTCAACAAACTTTTCCACCCCGATCAACTTACGAACAGCTTTAATCGCTTGCTCTTAAGTGAACTGCCTGGGATTATCCAATCCAAAAAAGAATAAATTAGATGTGAAATGCTGACTGGCCAGTACTATATGAAGTAGGGATGTTATCGACATGAAATTTCGGATACGGATTGGACATGTATATATGAATGATTAATATACTGGATACGGTTTTCATACAAAATTACTTCATATTATCCGTTAGTTTCAAAAAAATTCGGGTAAAAGTAAAATTATTATACATGTTACGAAGTATAATTATAACCTATTAGGCTCCGCCCCTATCCGTTATTATTCGACTCAACACAACTTTTATTTCGGATTTGGTTACGGATCCGCCTTTTTTTATCGGATATCCGATAGTTTCGGTTACAGTTACGAAACTCCCTAACAACCCTGGTATGAAGTACACGCCGCAAACAAAGCTTCGAAACTACTGGTCGCCAAGGACATTATCAGTGCTTCCTCTAAGTACATGATGCACCTGTGCACTATACATTATTATAATTAATCATAAACGTCCCAGCGTATGAATATATTACTGGCTCGTAACCCATTCTTTATTGCCAAGTTGTTTGTTTAAAAGATCACATAATCTATTGTGCTTTAAAAACTATTGTAGCTTCGTAGATCACATGAACTTCTCAGTAAGAAAGAAAATGTTTTTTTTTAAAACCACTTTTTATTTCTCCTTTGCTTTTACAAACATACACAAGCCACCCAAAACAACAATATTTTGACATTTTTTTTATGTAATAGATCGACAAACGATCAGACTGATTCCTTACCATCAAGTAATCAGTGCCGCTCATGGACACCCGCAACGGAGTAGTTACGATTGTGTTGACGACCTTATAGGGATTAAGGATTTGGAGATTAAGGGATTGAGGAGGGATAAGGGGAGGGGAAGGATTGGGCCTCGGGAAACCTCACTCACTCGGCGAAACACAACGCTGTTGTTGTTTCATGGTGGTTTTCTGTGAGGCCCTGGTATCACTCAAGTCGAGCCGACCCATTCGCGCCGAAGCATGACATGCATATCACATAAGTCTTGTTCCGTGCAGGAATCGATACCGCGACACGTTTTCACAGCAGCCAGTTACCCAGTAACGAATTAAGTGCTGAATTTTAGAGAAAAGTTCGTACATCCTTGCAGCCCGTCTTAATACACTAATACTTAATGCGTATATTTCATGAAATCTTGATGGTTACTATTGCCACGCAATGGAGAAATGCAGACATGCATTTCTACATTCAGTATTGATATCTTAATAAAAGTACTAATAATCGTCCGAACTATAATCAGAAATATTATTCAAACCAATTAATTTTCTATTGTTTGGGATAAACATTATTATTAGATGTGAAACATAAAAGGAAGGATAAATGTCATTCACTAACACCGCAATGAGTCACCGGTAAACATAGTACTAACGGTGAAATGGACCGGTTCTCAGCCGGAGATCTTCGATAATGGAGATCGCATATTCTGGGAACATCCTCGCTCGAAAACATGAGGATTAGCCGAAACTAAAGGCAGTCACAAATACAAAGAACTCATGGAATCTTTTAGAAATGGATTGGATCGCAGCAAATACGCGTACTTAAGCACATTAAGTAAACAAATGTTATTGAGCTTGAATACTTGTGGTATTCGCTGTTGCTGGACGGCGGCCAGTGCTAGGGTGTACTAGGCACACATCCAGCGCTTCCTAGTACACTGACAGCATTACCTTCATATGTTTACGGAATACCTAGTGCCTTAGTGCAGGGATGCATCTCATTAACACTCACCGCGCCGCCCGTACACTTGTTGCACTATTCTGCGAATTGTTCAGAGGCAATGACCTAACGGATAGAAGGCTACCGACACCCAGTGTCAAAGTACAATGCTCGAGGAAAAGAAGTTCCGCTCGACTTCATTGTAATTAAACTATTTACAATAATGCCCATCATGAGCTCATTACTAAAATGTCCGGTATTTGGGAATAAGTGTGTGGAATATAAACACAGTAATTACAAATTGCTTAAGATTCACGACCTGTAGTTTGCGGGCTTTGTATAACTTGACGGAGATGAACAACGAAGGAGGAAGCGCTAGACTAGCTCGGTGCTGCGCCACGCGCTCTACATAAAGCCGTTGACTGACGCTAACTGACCGATTAGCGTCAATATTGTTGTTGTTTGTCGTTTATTGAACCATTTGGTCATTTGTGCATGCAGTGCGCTGAACCGCTAACAAAGCGACCCATTGCACGTCGTCGTCGAATCGTTGTAGTAGTAGCCGGCGGTTCCGAATCGCCGGCAGGGCAAGGCCGTTGGAACTTTGCTTACACAAGGTGCGTTTGCCTGGTCCGCATCTCGGACATGGCGCGCTAATTCCGCGCGCTCACACTGAATCACTAATCAGGAGGCAGCGAGCCACCCATCAGTATTCCGGTAGCACCCGCCGCCCGCTCCGTACGCTAGCAAATCGCTAAAAATACAAGATGGACAAGGGCACTTCATGGCCGATTTGACCTTACCTGAATCACATAAAACAGCTATATGAATTACATATTTACTTCCTATAGTTACGCATAATTAAACTCGATTAAAATTTGTGTTTCTACTTTAAACTCATTACAAGTCACCTGAGTCGGAAAGAACGTGTCTAACTATACATACATTTTTATGTAGCGATAAAAATGTATGTATAGTTAGACACGTTCTAAATGTGTATAAAATCTAAATAAAACTTACAAACTCGTTATTTGCCTACAAGCAAATAACGAGTTTGTAAGTTTTATTTTATTTGCCATCATCAGTTTTAATTTGTGCATAGCGTATGGCCAGATAAGTATAATCAAGATCTAAAAAAGATAAAAAATTCAGTACGCAATGAACAAAACTGTAATCACGTGTACAAATTGTTTTATTCATTCCACAATCACAGCTAATTATTGTTGTTAATTCACATTTAACTCAACACATTACACATTTTGTATGTACTTATATGTATCATATTTTATTATAACGTAGGAATATTATATTATTACTGTATCATGTATTAATCTTTTCTTTTAATAACTAAAGAAGATATTAAATGAATTATTTTAAGTAAATCTATCAACAATAGTCCGATATACTTATTGATAATATGACTGATATTTGAAGCAAATGAAAATGTTTACCGTAAAATAGGAGATAACTTGGTACTTATTTTCCGCTACTATTAATCAAGTCTTTTATACATTTAACTATATTAAAAGGAAGACATCTTTATTATTTTGAACATTTTTCTTTCTAAATTTAAAAACTACAATGAGTTAAAATTGTCATACTTAAAATAAATAAATAAAAACTTTTATAAATTCAATTTATACATTGTTGTTGTTATTAATTAATTAAAAAGAACGCCATTACAATGATTACCATAGGCTAGCTTAATAATTCAAAAACAAAACAAAGCAATTCGTTACAGGCATAACTAAATAGGTTGTCTATGTAGGCACACAGTCACATAGACATTGGAGGTACTTACAATGTATCTACCCATAGACTAATACTGCCACCTAACGCTGCTTGTAACATAAGTTTACTATCAGTAGATCCAATGAGATTTTGTTCAAGACATGAACATCATTATATGGTAAGGCGTCCAGTACATTCTTTAAAAAAAAACGTTGGTATAAGTTACATAAAAAATGTGCCAAAAATCAATTTCTATGCTTGTTACATAATTATTGTCAACGACAGGCTATTGAAACTTGTTTGTTTTTATTTTTTATTATAAACAGCCATGGAATTCCAATTTCAAATTTTTACCAACAGATCTGATTTTCCTCTGAACATTTACCACAGTCAATATGACTGAGATGGTATATGCATTTAATTAACAAAAAATATTTTTAACATTTGTAAACTTTATGTATTAATTATTACAGATCATCTAATATGACAAAGTGCAGCACAGATAGGTTACATTATTTATTTTGGCTGTATTTGTAATGAAGGGTGATAATGAGCACAGTTTAATGACAAGTGATGGTCCTGAAGCCAGGAATATCAACGATTCCTTGTTGAAAGACTTGAACGTCTTTGTTATCTCGTAGACGCTCAGCAAGGGTCTTCTCATGTGCCAGCGGGTGCCAGGCGCCGAGGGTACAAGCGGCGTCGTGCGCCGGCGCGTGGTAGTGGCACCGGCGCGTCGCACGCGCAGACGGCACGTACTCAAACATGCGCACGCGCTCACAACGGTGCAACGCGAACCAAAGACCTGAAAGTATATTGAAGCAGTTAGTATTCATTACCAGTATCTCATGGTTTAATTAATGTTTTACTAATAAGCAGTTGGAAGAATGTAAGTAGTAGGTATATAACATAAGATAGATCATGCATATTCCCAAAAATATTTCAAGGCGCTGGCTGAATAGTTGGCGCAATGTCTATGCATGTTATGTAATGTCTAGACTAGGTTTGATTCCCCCACGGAACTCTTTCTGTGATCCACAAATTATTAGTCCGGATATGAGTGTGAATGTGGAGTGTTTTTTTGTCTTTTACTAGTAGGCCGGTTTTTTTCGAATTGTGTGTATTGCACAGAGGTATAATAAATATAGTCTGGAATTATACCTACACATGCTACTTTTAATCCCGTAGCTATTAATCAACTTGTTCATTAAGAAATACTCAAACTTTTCAATTTCATAAAATATTCATTTTTTTTATATAATTAAGTAGCAGGTATTTCTTCTTCCTATACAATATGAATAACGTGCTCTTTGATACTACTTTTTCACTTAACGACATACTTAATTTTAACATTACAATAAGTATCTAAAATTATGTTTTATGAACGTTACCTATAAACCCTGATGATGGCGGGTTTCTCCGTAAACGGTACGGGGATGTATCTTGTAGCACCGACCATAGCCCCCATAGAACTTGGGGATTTAACAAATGCACATCTGCATTCTTATACCGATCAAGTAACCTGAAAAAAATAGAATATGAATAATCAATGAATTTAATTAAACCTTTAAATCGTGGTAAATCGAGACCCACGTTCGCTTAGGGTTTCATGAATTAAATCAATTAGGAATTACCACGTGAAAAACAAAACAGTGTGGGAGAGCCATGCTTGGACACAAATGGGTCGGCTCGCCCAGAGTGATACCTTGACCTTACGGAAAACGAATTACAATGTTGTATTTTGCCGTGTGAGTGAGGTTACGAGGCCCAATCCTTCCCTTTCCCTAACCCCTACGTAATCTCTAATCCCCAAAGGGCCGGCAACGCACTCGTAACTCCTCTATTGTTGCGGGTGTCCATGGGCGGCACTGATTTCTTACCATCAGGTAATGTGTATGTTCATTTGCCGACCTATCACATAAAAAACATCATTTGAATTAAGTAAACAATGAATATGAACGAAATAATATTATAAATAAACATTCAATTATACTCGTATGTAACCTGCTAATACACTTCTATTGAATAGCCCTAAATAAACTCTCTCCATTAAGAATAAATTCAGAGTTTTATTTCGAATTAGGAACACCGTCATCTTATTTTTGTTAGGAGAATATATATGTATTTTATTGTCTGTTTGAATTAAATATGATCTGAAAATACTTGACCGGCTTTTTGGCATTAATTAAAAACTACATATCATAAGTACTTACCACAACCATGCCACACTTTTAGGTACCTTAAAAATTCAGGGAAAACCAGTGCGTGGGTATATGTGATACGAGTTTTAGGAAATCACAGTATCTATCAAAATATTTCCTTCAAAGTATGTAGCTTCATTGCAACTACCGAACGTGGGTAATTCTAGTCCCAGGTGTGATTTTTTTACTTTACATTTGTGTAATAACTGTCGTATTACATAATAGAGAAGACAACTTAACTATACCTTTAACAGGTTACACTTCTAGTGAAATAATGGAGGAGAGTTCTACTAATTTTAATGTACAATAAGGCTATCATTCGTGAGCAACGCGCGCGGTGTGATCGTATGAGACTGCGTCTCGCGCTGCATAAAAGTTCCCGTGTTTCATAAAACCACTAAGTAGCGCTTTTCTCCATCATTTCACTTGGATAAATCGTATATTTAAATAACATTTCTTTTACTAAGACTACTTATATCTCAAATAGTATAGGCCTTGGTAGCACTCCAGTCGACCCGACCCATGCCTGCCGAAGCATGGGTTTACCACACTTATATTTATTTATTTGGAATTATATAGACTACTTACTTCTTATATACAGGAAACAGTGGATAATCAGGATGATGGTACCAGTCTTCTAAAGTTGACGTGTAGTTCGCTGGATCCCAAATGAGAATGGATACATTACGGTACAATGGATCCTCCAAGAAGTTGAATTCTGGTTTTGCAACCACCTAAAAATTTATAACACAGTCGTATCACATAATTGTTGACACTTAAATAAAATAATTAGGTGCAAAACGAAACTTTTTTAAGTTCTTTTTTATCCACCGACTTCTTGGCCACAAGTAAAGAGCCATTTTATTGGTTAAACCTTTATACATAATTTTCGTTAAGTACATAGATATTTTATGCGTTTTTGCCCAAATCAATCAGTCATTTAATACTTTAAAATGATTATTAGAAAACCATTTGACTACCTTAAAGTTTCAGGGACAACTTCCAAGAAAGGATAAGGTGATTTTTACATGCGAAAACCCAGAGCCAAGTATATTTGTAAATAAATAATTGAAATAAATATCACAACAACTGTTTACCTGTGAATTAAGAACTCTGAAAGTGGTCTTGGAGCCGACACTCTCGGTATAATTCTCTGTGGGCGCGTTGTTGAATCTCAATACCATGTCGTGAGAATCTGTCAACACAAATAAGTTTGTTTGTGACATACTCGCCTTGCCTCCGGCTCTCATCTCCATAAAGCATGGGAAAACTTTTACAAGAGCCGCGTGTGTAATGTTAAACGGATTATTTTTAGATTTTTGTTACATAAAAATTGTGTGTAAGACAACATTTTTTACTGGGTTTCGCCGTGTTAGTGTGGTTTCCGGAGGCCAAAGCCTTCCCTTCCCACAATTCCTAATTCCCCAAAACCCAAAACCCTAATCCCCAAAAGGTCGGCAAGGCACTCGTAACTCTTCCGTTAGTGCGGGTGTCCATGAGCGGCGCTGATTGCTTACCTATCCTCTCCTATCACATAAAAATATAGGTACACGTGTAGGTCTAACCTTATCTATATATATATTTCTATGGCTCGGCGTGTCGTGTCGCGCCAGAAGGTGCCATAGCTTTTATACATTTACTTCGACTATAAACACACATGCTCAGCGTGAAAGATAGTGTCTCGAATTTGTTTTATCAAATACCTGTCAACCAAACCCATACTGTTTTTTTTTAATAAAACGCTAGATATATTTCAACAAATTACATAGGTAAGGAAGAAGCTCTAATCAAGCACAAATTAATCATACTGTCATGCATATTACCTAGCTTAACAATGCAAAATTACCTTCATTTTGCTAGCACAAACAGGCCTACTATAGATGAAAAAATTGTTCCAATCGTGACTACAGTCCATTGTGATAATTGTTATAATTCGTTAAAACCTTGACTCCAGTAATTCATACAATAACTATTGCAACGTTTGATTCTTAACATTTAACGTTATCAGACCTTGTGGAGTGTTTCCGCTCCATTTCAAGAATTTTGAAACAACGAAAACAATACTTTACCTAGAGAAATCTTTTCTCATTGTGTGTATTTTTACAAGATAATAATTCTAATTGGACAACATTTTCTCAAACGAAATGTAAACTGAATTTCTGATTCTGATTTGCTACTATAAAAACTTTAATTTGTATCATCTTTAAAAAAACCAATTCAAATTAATTTCAGTTGCGAGAGCAGAGATCGCCCGTATCGTTTATTGACCTTCTTAGTTGCAAAACTAAAGTTAACAACGTTATCGTTTTTTCTGTTTAATTCAAAGTAATTCCAGAAAAACCTGAGCAGTTGTCGTCTTTTGCTTTTGTTATTTATCCATTTTCCATTAAAAATTCCACGTAAGTTAAAAAACTAATAGTTTTATATATTTTTCATGCTTTATCCTTGTTTAAGCTTACAAAGTTAAATAAACAGCAGTAATCAGACATTAGGTATCGTGGGTTGGCTTTGTTTTCATGTTCAGATTATTAACCGCTAATTATTTCAGATTATTATTAGTAACTGTATGTCTTGTACCGCGGCCTCGGCCTAGAGCAAGAAAAGGAACGGGATGGTCACTGAAAGTCTAACACTCCCTGTCGCCTCACCCTGGGTGAAAGAAGTTATTCGATGTTTTTTACCCCGTTAAAAGAAACGTGTTATTCTATGCATCAGACCACTTCCTAACTTAAGCCTCTTAGATGATCTATATACATAGTTTTGTATCCTTAATTAGCTTAGTTTACCTAAGGCAGGATACAATCTCTGACCCCAAGAAAAACTGTGAGCATGAACCTTCGACGTGCATCCATAGGTTTAAGAAAGTAGAACAATAGAAATGAACAGCTCGATTGCTACAAAAATACTTTATAATTACATCTATTATTTATTTATCTGTAATTAAGTAAACGTTTATTTTTTTTACTCGTCTGCTGAGTTATGGCATGTTATTAAAGACAAGTACCTATACATGCTTACAAGTTACGTCAGCAAAATATATAGGATTAAGTTTTAGTTTAGAATAGACCTTTTTTGAGGAGAGAAATTCATCAAATTTCTGGCTGAATGTCTTCTCTCGCCTAGGGTATGGCGAGAGGTAGTGTCAGGCTTTTTATGACTAAAAAACCTGTCGTTCCTTCTTCTGCTCCAAGCCAAGGATGCGCTACCTTATTGCGGATGCCCCGCAAAGAATAGAGGCCTGCGGTTTTATCAATGTAACTTTTGCTCACATACCCTGAGTAAAATTTAAGGAATACTGATTATCCCTTTTTAATTTAATATGTCCTTTTTATTAAACAAGAAGAAAGAAAAACATTTATTTGGACACAATAATTGATTCCTCTCTGAATACACATCGTCAGCCTATATGTGCCTACTGCTGAGCAAAGAGCTCTTCTGACGGAGAAGGTTTAAACATTAACCACAACGCTTGCTCAAGGTGGATTGGCAATTTAAAAATTATAAGTCTAGATTTTCTCAGTGATAATATGTCAGTGGTGTCTAAACAATCTTACAAAATAGATATAACTCGGAGTAAGTCACATTGGCACGTGGTATGTTTCAAACCCTAATGCTTGAGCATCGTCTCTACCTCCGGGTCACACCACTTTCTTTTAAATCCTACCCTCCCTTTGAGGTAGGTGTTACGTTACAAGTCGTTAATAATTCTTGTAGGTTTACAACTTAAAACTTTACATAAAAGTTCTTCGGACTAAAAGAAAATGTCGAGACGGGCAATCTACATAATGAAAAATAAAACTGTTCAATAATGTATGTAGTGTGAATGTGAACATGGACAAACGCAGTGCTATTGTCTTTCTGTCAGGAATACAGGGAATTAGTTTAACTTAGCACAGCATGCTTTTTACAATACATTTGAATGAAAACACTGCATTCATAGATGTGTAATTGACTCGACGTAAACGCAGTAAACAATATATAAAATCACATATGCTGTTCCCACTAGGTTATAAATGAAAGATATTAATTAAATAAGGAAAATAAAGGACAAAACATTTATTTAGTCGTCGATGGCTAAGGCTAGGGCTAGGCAGTCATCGTTAGTACATTACTAGCTTCCGCCCTGATAAAAATCAGCCTATGTTAATCCAGGGTATCCTATCTGCCAGGGTTGCAATGAGTCACCTCGACCTCGGCCCAGAGCAGGAGAAGGAACGGGGAGGTTTTTAGCCAGTAAGACTCTCTCGCCTTACCCTGGGCAGGAGAGAGAATAGAGAAGAGAATACATACGAAATTTCAGCAGTTTTTGCGTGAAATAATAACAAACATACAAACAAACATTGTTACTCACTTTCACGTTTATAAAATTAGTAGGATAATAGTAGGATTTTTAGCTTATTACACACAAAATTTTCTGGTATAATGTGGATAAAATGTTCGTTTATCTAAGTAAGGATGAAGTAAACATTCCCTTGGACCGTTAGAGTGTACATTACAATATAATGGCGGCGATATAATGCGGCGGAGGAGCGCGGGAAGCTCCTTATTGCCGGCGCATTGTATGTCGGAGGCGCACAATGGTACAACATGAATTATGCACGCCCTTTACGTGTGGGTTGATGACACCACGCGAACAATACCGCACGTATCCTGCACAGCTTTTCTTTCATTGCTGCCTTATAAACAATATACAAAACTTTACAGCCTTGCTCATGAACTTACGGTACCTAGTTTTACAGAACCCTTGAATACTGTTTGTGTTAAATCTGTACGATGTTCTGTTATTAGTACCTAAGTAATATGCGCAATGCGCAATTCTATGGGACTTGCTTCCCGAATCAATTATGAGTTTTTTTATATTACAATAGCTATAAAACATCGCAACAATTTTTTTCAGTTCACTTTGCCAAAACAACCAATTTTACCATCTTCACTTTAGCCATTACCGACGTAAATCACAACGCTCTGTGTTTCATACTTTCTTTACGGCCTGCTATAAAAATTACAAGGAAAAATTTGATGGACCGATTACGTAGTACCAAAACATAAACCATAATACTGATGTCCCGATTTGTAGCCTGATAGCCTTAACTTGAGAACTTCAACGAAATCTTGGCTTAGCTTTTATGTATTTATCTGGCCGACTGTTAGATACGGAAGGCTTCAGATACATACAGATAAATAGGTTCGTTACTTGAAAACATGTGATGAGGTGTGTCGCGTGTATAATTTCAAAGAATATAACTGTTCTGTTGGCTATTGCAGGAATGATACCCTACGAACTGCAATCTAGATCTGAAAACGTTGATAATTGATAATAGTTAAACTGGTAAAGTGTTCCATAATTTACATACCTGCATATGTAGGTAGGTATGTACTAATACAGAAGAAGTATGTTTTCACATCAATAATTATCATTCTACGAACCTTAGGTATACTTACTTACGAGTGGTTTTACATTGCTTAATATCTCACGCTACTTATTAGGTAGACACAAAATTATTTTACGTAAATAATTTAATTCAGCTATCAATAAAGTAGCTGTCTACCCAAAAACATAAAAATAAAGAGGAAGTTTTATCTCGAGTCAAGAAAGGGGTGTGTCACCATACATTTTCGTGGCATTTGCCACTCCCTTTCTTTGGTACAGCCTGCAGCCGATGAACAGCGATATGAAAGCGAATTTTAAACTGAACTCTTACAAAAACACTTGCAAACATAACAACAAAGTGCTTAAGAAAAGTTCCTCGGAAACGCCTCATTTAGTTTTATATTTGGACTTACATTCGCTTTTATTTAAATGTTTCTTTGAAATGCTATTCGTACTTTGTGTTTTGTACTTTGAATGTGTAGCAGGTACTGAGGTAAGTACTTATACGGAAGGTATGTCTAAAATCTTAGGCCATGGATGATTCCCAATAACCCATACGTAGCGTGTAGCATACCTACACTTATTTAGATAATACGTTCAATTTTTAAATTTATCGGTACACAGATGCTTCGCAAACATTGTGGAACAGGTCCTTAGTAAAAAAATATTACCTAATATCAAATTTTGCCTATTTAAATATGCCGCTAGCTATGCTTTGGAGAAAATTTTGGGTACAATGTGAGATGTATTAGTGCGTATGCTAAATAAGTAGTTAGGTTCATAAATTGGTTTATTTTTACACTCAGTGCTGTATCTTGCATAGACAGTCCCATGGTGTCACTCTGAGCTGGCACTACTACACAAAATAATCATAAGTACCTTCATTGTGTTAGAGGTAAAAAGGTTGTTCCTTTTTTAAAAAAATATGAGTAACATACCTTTTTCTGTAAGTGGAAAATCAATAAATGACTTCTCTCGCCCGGGGTGACCCCTCACCCCGAGAAATCGGAGAAGTCAAGAAGAAGAGTCAGCGTCAGTGTCTTACCGAATAGAACTACCACGTTCCTTCTCCTGCTCGGGTCCGAGGCAAGATACAATATTTTTGGATAAAATTTTAACGTGAAAGAACTGAGAAAACTAGGTGAGCTTTTTTCTCACTTAATTCACGTAAATAAGTTGTTATTTTCAATTAAGTTTGCACAAGTATCGCAACTAGCAGAACTTTTCATTGTGTCTGTGTTTTCAACTTATTGAGATTTCTCTGAGGCTTGAAGTGCAATAAAATAACAATAAGCGCTTAAGTACCTATATTGCGGTGGATTGATTGTTGCTAATGACTTAAGAAAAATCTTAATAAACAATATACGAGTAAGTAAGCGATGTCCTTACACGTGTCTCCGCACTCGGAAGCGTGTGTCATTGTCTGTTCCTCGTCTGGGCTTTAAATTATCAGCAGATTTTCGAGAAAGGACAAAGACATGTGGTTACGCAGTGACTAATGTAAATGCAATAAAATAATAACATTACCCGTTGCCATTTATTGTGAATCATCAATTTTTCACCTTTGCCTTTGAACTTGTATGAGGCCGGTACCTACTTGCAGGTGAATCAAATATAACACACATTCAATACCGTAGGGTTTTTCTGAATGAATGTTCGTGTCATATTTAGGTATTTGGTTACATATAAAAAAATACTTTTTGTTTGCATATAATAGGAAATGTGACTAAACGCGGACTAGCGCCCGGTTTCCGAAAGGCCGATCAATGTTAAAATCAATTTAATCTCTTGTCAAGTCATCTGATTGGTTGACTGAATTATCAACAACCAATCAGATGACTTGACAAGAGATTTAACAGCAGATTAGTTAATTTTAGCGTTGACAAGCCTTTCAGAAACCGGGTGTAAGTTTGTGATTAGTACCTACTTATGAGTAGGCAAGTAGGCAACTTCATTGTCATAAAAGTTTTGACATTTAACAGTATTTTTAAATGTTCCATAAATGTTATCACAATTTAAATTTTACCGGAGCGCGTGTGTATTGTCGAAGAATGAAGCAGTCACCGGCGCCGGCGCCACTTGACAAACCTATCATAGTTAACTGCAATGGAATCAGCATATCAAACCAGACGTTTCTGTGTAAGACTAAGATAGTCACATGAATAACTCAAACCGTGTTCAAAGTTGTATTAATGAGTATGCCGTACCCAGTCAAGTTAGGTATGTAGGATTTACTGAATAAACTGAGAATACCTACCTAATGTAGATAACTAGGTATTACAGGTATAGGTACCTACAGCCTATTACAGTAACTTACCAAGAAATTGATGGCGCTTAACTAAATTACAAACACAACCTTTTTTTGTGAGAGGAAAATCAGCAAATGACTGGACTAAAGACGCCCAGGATGAAGCCAGGGAATGTCAGACACACTGACTACGACTCCACCGTTTCTTCTCCTACTCAAGGTCGAGGTCACGGGATTTTATTGCGCTTTCCTTGCAACCCCGGCTGAACATCGGTCCCGTAGGGTCCCGTCAGGTGGTCTATTGGCTCTTTAGGGCGCGCGTAGAACGCTACGTACAACAAGCTAGGGTTTAGCTCAAAAAAAAAATTAACAAAAATATTAATCGCTACGTCACTAAGCTGTTAATTAATAATTATAGGTAATTTGGTTTCAGACAAATGTTAGGTACATCCAATAACACTTGCAGCATAACCTGTGGTTTAAGCCAGATATATTTGACGTAATTGGTAAATGACTTGTGTTCATAATTAATTTAATTGGTACCTACGTCAGAACTGATACATACATACGGTAGGTGCATCATTAACTGTGTAATATGTACTTGGTTATTGGTATGACTGACTTTCCCAGAGTAGGTATACATATACATACACGCTGTTTCAATGACGTGTCTACATTAGGTATTAAAAAAACTCTAGGCACACAGGAATATGTCAAGCCACGTTCAACATATAGGGAATTTGGTTATGTATTTAGATGCACGTATAATACGGTAGCTTCCAACTAGTTTTAGCACATTTATCCAAATGAGTAAAAACATCTTAGCCTTGTAGGTACCTAGGTCTCACAAATCAATGGATGAAAGTAACAAAACGAAATCACATAAATTTTGACCGATTAAACTACTCTATTGTATGCGGTACCTCAAATTCACACCTAATACAACAAATAAAATAGATCAATCTATAAAGATGCATACCAACATTTAATACAATTAAAATACAGAGTGGACACCTGCATCGTAACATTACCATACATATTGCCCGAAGCGTACTTACTGACATAGTAATGTAGTTATTTAATCGGTTACTCTGAGTAATCAGTGTAGTCCCGAGCCCCAGCGACAATAATTCGTGTAATTCGCATACGATTTGGGCCGTTCGTCGAAGAGACCCGACTACGCATGTCAATGCGTTTCACAAAGCGAAGATCCGATGCGATAAGAGGTACAATACGCGGTCGATCACCTGCACATCATGCCCACATAAATATTATAATAGATACTAAGTACGTACCAACTTCCCATGATAATCCTAAAGAATAATTCTTAAATTCTAGAGATATTTTTTGAGGGACAAGTGCAATAAAGGAAAAAAACTAAAAACCACCCCGTTGGTGATTTTTAGTCAGTATAAGAGTGTGACCTCCCTCTCGCCTCACCCTGGGCTAGACAAGTCATTTAAGAATTTTCACCCCTCAAAAAAAGGTAGGTAAGGTAAGGTAAAGTAGTAATATTTTGATTTACCAGTGTCGGTAGGATAGTTTTGCTTTAGGAACGGTTTTCTAGTTTGGATTCGCGTCAATAATTGTAAGTAGGCAAGCTTGTAACTGGTATTTGCATTGATTAAGTAGAGGTAAATATGACAAAAAAATAAACTTTGCACTTAACGCATTCGGGGCGATATTTGTAAACAGACTAATGACTTAGTACCTAGGTATCTGGTAGTCTTAGAATACCCTCTCATATCACAACTGGCGCCGACGCAAGCTCACTTTGAATAACGCGCATTCTATAGGATTTTCTAAGAGTATTGATGCATCACATAATAATAACTGAATGGTAGGTAATAATTAATTTATAAATGTAGGTATGACGTCTCAATTCTAATAATTATTCTTAACACATGAAATCTTTGAGAATTTCAATAGTAAGTAATTGTACTGTTTGCTACAATATGATACTCACTTACTCCTATTAACCAAGGTACCTAATTCGTAACTTTCGACAACAAATTCAAAATATCTACTATCCCAAAAGAACGCAAATTAGAGATACGTAGGTACTTCCACTACGTACATAGGTAGGTACTTCTAGAAGTTAGATAAGAAGAACTGAAGAATGAAGGCAAGACGTAACATGTAGGCAAAAGGAACGGTTAAGTCACTTTGAACCTATCAATACTGGCGCTATCAATATGCTGAATACCTAACTGAAAATAAATACATAAGAATTAAACTAATATTTTAATAAGCTCACCTATAAATTCTCCTAAGTCCGAGCCCAGCAGCGCCCCAGCGCTTGTAACAACAGCACAAGTGTTGAAATGCCTCTGTTCCTGTAAAGGTGCCCTCGGAATCTTGAACCCCAGCCTCGAAAATGGTTCATCATCAGCAGTAATTGTTCGTAACTGCACACTTTTCAAAGCGCACATCACCTCCTCTCGAGAACTTTTCTTGGGATTGTTACTATCATATTTAACATCATAAGTATTGTGAACATCTAAGCCTGATGTAAAAACTTTACTATCGCCCATTAGAACCCTATGAAACTCTTTCAACAAGAGCTCTTTAAACTTGGCGGTTCGTTCTTCGCAATCCGAGGAAGCCAAGTCGTTGCAAATGTACTTATCATTGTCGAACTCCAGTAAGGGTCGGTCGATGTTCGGGAACCTGGGACTGCCGTTGCTCTTCCTCACAATGTTATTCGACGGAACATGGTATGAACCTGATGTCTTGTTCCATATCTGCCGAGACCCACCATTGCTCCAAAAACCACCCACTGCCGACCTCCGATTTTTCCGAAGGAACTCAATTCTTAAAGTAGAATTCAATAGCAACTTTGATATGTTTCTTTCCGCCGCGTAATTTACGCCGGATATCATTGTTTTGGGTGGATTATCTGATTTAGTGAAATTCCGCTGTTTCTCTTCGTACATCCAGTACTGATACCAGATCAGATACAAATAGCCACACATACCGAAGCATAAAACATTAATGAATATCCAAACCGACATCGCAGCAGCTTTCATGTTTACTACGACAAAGAACTTCACACTACCGAATGTAAGTAATCTCAATAGATACAAAGCAAGAACACTTAAATAGCCGTGGAGTTTGTACAAAAATGAGCTTTTGGCAATGTTAACTTGTAATATAATTAAAATCACAACCTTAACAATATTAGGGAACTGGTTGTAGTGTATGAATCTGTATTCGTGGGGCGGAGGGAGATCAGCTGATAAGGTGGGCACTGCGCGTGCGTAAGATCGTCTGTAAACGCCACGGTAAACGCCGCAACGAGCATCGGCTTATTATTTATTGTATTTCTGTTTACCGGTTCGAGACGATAGAGTCGTGAAAAAAATACTTTACATATACTTACAACAATTTGAACGGAAACTGTTTATCTATACTAATTTTGTAAATAGGTAAAATTTGTAAGTTTGTATGTTTGTAAGTTTGTATGTAGGGGGTAATCTTTGGAACCGCTGGTCGGATTTACAAAAATATTTCACTGAGCTACAATGTTCCCTAATCATCACGCAACGATTAAAAGGAGCCGAGCAGCGGGTGACACCGCGCGAGAGTAGCTAATAAACATTAAAATCTTCAGAGCAATAAAATTTGCGCCTTTGTTTCGAATTAATTTTTGAGCTCATTTTTGTATAAAATTCCTTCATACTTACTCGGTGCTTCCGATACATATTAAGAACAGGTAAGATGGGTAAAATAATATAAGAAAACCACGGATGGGTGATAATAAAAATACATTTTAGGTATTTGTTAGGGGTTTATTTTGAAAATAGTAATATTTTATGGGTACAATAGCAGTCACAAGCGGTTCTCACAACCAAGGTATTGATTCTAACTTTTGTATTTTTTATTAGTAGGTTCTTCATATGAACTAAAATAAACACGCATATTGAGTGATTTAAGAAAACTAGATACTGGAACTATTGTTTTAATTTAAAATCGATTGACATTAGAGACTGCCTATATCTATCCATCCACAATGTAAAAACTTCAAACTACACTTACCTAGTAATTGGTTCACTTACGTTACCTACGTACCTTGTACAGGATATGGTTAGTACAATACGGTAGTTTCCAACTAGTCAAATTGAATACTTTTATCAAAATGTCAAAAACGATACTTTTCTATGAAATTTGTATGAAAAACTAAATAATGACGTCATAGTATTTTTGCTTCAAATAGCTTACTTATTTCCTAATGATTAGCTACAAAATATCTAAAACTTAATGTATCGATCGATCGATGAATAAAATTATAGTTATTTTCAATATTTGATTGTATTGAAACGTCGAATTAATTTATTTTTGACTTAGGAAACTACCCAATTGCACGAATAAAATAATCTACATTATGTTTATTCAATAAATTTACTAAAAATATATAGGATTCATTAATACCGTAACAAATCAAAAATAATATAAATAAAAACATTTTTGTACCGTACGATATATTGTTTGCTTTGTGCTAAGAAATACTTAACAATAAAAAATCACAGTTCAAATGAATAAATGTCATTTCAATGAATAATTTGAAAGAGATGTTGTATTGCATACAACAACAACTAAGATATTTATAACTGAAGTAACAAAATAAAACATTATACATAATTTGTACTAAAAAAGTTAATTAAAAATTGATATCGCGATAAAAGGATTAATTGATGGTACTTCTAGGTACAATTATTATAAAATAAATATAAGTAAGTATTTGCTTTTTCCGCCTGGTAACACTTTTAATGGGCTATCTACAACGTAAAAAATATTAGTTTTATTATGTTAGACACAGTTTTTGAATAATGAATCAATGTTAAAAATATTATTATTATTATTTTGTGCAATAAATAGTGGAGCGTTTTCGATAAAAAAAATAATCGTGAACATTTTAAGGAAGACTTTAAAATGTTTGTTTTTATGTTTTTTTTTTACTTAACATCTACTTTACATAAAACGTTTTCAGATTTTATTAAGTACGAATTCGTGTGTTCACTAAAGGAGGTTTATTGCATTATGACTATTATGAGAGACAAATGTTCATCATAGTCGGAAGAGCGTTGGATTTTATTATGTAGCGACACATGTTACAGATTTATAATGATTATATGAGAAGCAGTATTATTACAAGAAAACAAGACTGACTCTACGTTGCTCCTAGAATTATAATTTAAAGGATGTATCTTTTTTTTGTTAAATTATTATTTAAGTATACAGTCAGTCTACCTACAACTATATTAATGTTAAGTTATAATTATTCAGACTAGACAATGCGAGATATCAACCCTCATTGTGACAAAAATATAGGTAACTTAGGTAGTAACCTTATTACTTCCATAATTAAAAACATTTTCTCTGGCAGAATGAACTAAGTAGTAGCTCATGTTATTTGTACTATTTCGTAAAACTTTTTGTCAAGTTATTTAGTGCTGTCAAAACCTGTAGCTAACTATTTGTATTAAAAACTTTTTTCAAGCTATGATACTTGCAAAATATTACCAATACATATTTAACAACAACAATTTGGCACTACAAAAAATATATTCTACAAAAATTCTTTAAATTGTAGCAAAAACGTTTCATAGTCCATGTAGAAGCATGATAAGCCGATAGAAAGATACAATTCATACTACACGCATTTCGTATAGTATACACGAGGACGACTGGAAATAAATTACCAATTTTAATTTTTAGACCACCTACAAACATTTCAAATATTGAAACATTTTTCTAATGGCACTCTTTGATACATAAATATTCAATTTCAGGATCTCTCTCAAGGTAGGGCCCTAAGCTAGAACAAGCAGGCCGAGACACATTTCATATAGGACTTAATGCTACTTACAAAAATATAAGTACTGTGCAGTGTGACAATGAACTCAGTTGGGTGTACTCTCTCACTTTGTAAATTCTATGTTCTTGGAAACTGGTACTTCAATTAGGGTTGTTGGTCCACCTAGTGTACTGGGCAGCGTCCTGTGTGCCGTCGCGTCGCGTCATCAGAGTCGAGTAGTGGAGAAGTGGCAACACCGAACATCCTAACACAATAGCTCCGAATGCTGGTTTGTGGATCAACCTGGAACAATATTCAACATAAATAAAATGATTGCTTTCATAATAAGCAATAATGCTTTAATAATAGGTGTCAGCCTTTGGTATGGTAAGACAAATTTGGGGATATTTAATTTTTATGTTTAAGATTATTCATAAGAGCATAGCATAAACATTTTTCTTTTAATATAATATCTTGTGAAATAGATGTATTAAAATAAATAAAAAAAAACTTTCAAGCAACAAAGGCTCATAGTGTGTATTGTATTGTATTGATTTTATATTTTGTTCAATACATAAGGCAGTTTTATTACTTACCATGGCAAAGCAATGATAAATAAAGTGTAGGAGCACGACAGGACGAAATTAATCCAAAATCTTGAACACCGTCTAAAGTTACTTGACACCCATGTACTTTGTAAAACTGGAAAATAAATATAACACTTAAGTTAATAAAAAAAAATACATGTGACATAAAATCCAACTAACTGTTAACACGGAAGATTAAAATTGTATAGGGAATATTTTGGTTTCGTCATTTGGAGGCTTCTGGGACCACAAAAGCTTGGACCGCGGTCCCAGTAGCCGGATCCATAAAAAAATAAATATTTTTCTTCCGGCGACTTGGACCACCTAGAGATAATTAAAAAAAAACAATTATTCAAGCTAAAATTGATACACCCAAAGGAAAAACGTGATTTATATTAATCATTAACTTTTTCTAGACATGATTTACCATATGCGCTTAGTTAGTTATTAAGCTACCTCGTATTTTAAATAATTCGCACAATCATACACACAAGGGAATAAACATTTTATAATTTTGTGATAATATCTCTAGTTAGAGATATTAAATAGTAGATAGTCTTTGATTTCAAGGTCAGCAGCCTCAACTATAATGAAATACCTACAGTTTATTTTTATATCAATAAACGATGTTTTTAAATAATAAAGGTTTATTCTTTAAACATTACTTACATCAAAAAAATTGGGTTAACTGTTCATTTTTTTATTTCAGTTATCATTTATAAGTTTAAGTGTGGGAGAGCCATCATGCTTCGGCACGAATGGGTCGGCTTGACCGGAATGATACCACGGTCTAACATGAAACGTGGCGTGAAACAACCAAAGAGTTGTTTCGCCGTGTGAGTGAGGTTACCGGAGGCCTAATCCTTCTCCTACCCCAAAATCTCCAAATCTCTAATCCCCAAAAGGTAAACAACGCACTCGTAACTCCTCCGTCGTTGCGGGTGTCCATGGACGACGCTGATTGCTTACCATCAGGTAATACTTCTGATCGTTTGCCGACATAAAAAAGTGGTCCCAGCCGCCAATGAAATTTTTTTTTACGGTTCCAGCTACTTGGACCGCCGTCCGCCTCCGGAAGCCTCGTCGTTTGTTCACATAAGCATCGGTATCATCAAATCTCGATCAGTTTTAAGTTATGTACAATTACATTAACTTACATAGTGTCACCCAATCAGGATGCAATGTCATTGCTGAAGCCAAGACTTGAACAAATCCAAATAGTCTGTATTGCCAGGTGTGAATATTTGCATCTCTCTTCTCTAGCTCAAAGAGGTGATTCAAAGTGTAGGAACCTTTACGGAGTAGGCAGATTGGATCCGCTGACGGAAACCTTGTTGGACTATAAGCCTGTATAGTACCACCTTCAACTAAGCCTACTGCTGTGTACTGAAAAAATTAATTATTAGATTAGAAAAATATATAACAAGCATTTTTGAATAGGAACTATTGTGAGACACCAAATTTACTAAAAATATCGTCTTACGTAAATTAACTGAGGAAACTCTAATAGTTTAAAGTCACAAAAGGACTAATACGTCGGGCGTCGCAGCGACGCGGACGCTAATCACGTATGCTCGTTTCTTTCAATGAATTTAACTAGGTTCTTACACACACTATATGTATAAACTTCAGACCACTTGCTCAGTAGTCTCAACATGTTTATTAATGAGGTAGTCTCAGGCTTTATAGACCTATTTTCTCATTACCAACCTTTTTTGAGCGACCTTATTTTCATTCAAAAAAGTATTTTTAGAACAATATAAAACTTACAATATCATCCTCACGGCCAGCATAAGAGAAGTGAATACGAAGATCACCAATCTCATGTTCTAAAGCACTTTCTCCATGGTAATAGAAACCAGAGTGAAGCTTGATATCACTCCGCTCTGGTCTAGAGTCAGACCAAATCTCATAATAATCTGTCACTTTCCTTTTCACATCTATACCTGGAATATACAGAATAATATTGAGTTATATTAAAGTTTTGGGTAGTTTAACGAATCTTAAGAAATCAATGGGGATATGTCTTATATGGGGATTGGTAAAGTGCACAATAATGTGCTAAACATTAAGATTTTCTCCTGTGACATGGGTGTGTTCATAAATAAACAACTACACAAACACATCACACCCAACTCTGGAACAGCCATTTGTGGATCACACAAAGAGCTGTTTTGAACCAATACCAACAAATAGAAATTTAAAATCAGGACAGTTGGTATGACAGCCAGTTACTAGGTACATCAAGTATGCAGTTAATAAAACTATGTGTATAAAACTTAAAATATTTACCTAAATATGCCCATCCAATTTTAACATTATCAGCAATATGTGTTTCACTACTCAATGGCATAATAGCAGGATTTATATGCCCTGGTCTGATGTAGAACAGTGAGGAGTCTACCACATAATCTCGCCAGTCTTTGTGATACCAGTATGTTTTACGAGACTCTTCAGCAGGTTCACTGATGAAATTCTCCTGTTCCCTAAAATAAAACATTAGATTCAAAATTTCTATTTTACAATGCACATCAATCTTATTACTTAACACCTAATACTTATATAAATTTATTAACACAAAAAAAAAACCAGTCATGCATTAATAAGAGTTAGTAAATCATCATTCATCTAGTTAAGTAAAGTTTTAAGATATTAATTACTAAATAAAGTCCCTGTTAAGTAATTAATACTGAACTTTCAGTATTAACAAGTAAAAACAAGATAAATTATTTGCTTACGTAGATTCTTCAATCCACTGGTACATTTGCACCCGTTTCCGTAGTTTAACAGCTTGTACTTGTATGTTATAGTCGGGCTCCGATATTGGCTCGAGTATCCTCAAAGGCCCAACAATATGAACTACCTTTCCTTCATAGCGCGCTGCTTCGTCGCCAGTATGCACGTCAATACTCTCTGCTGCCGAAACCAGTTCCTCAAGCATCAAGTTAATTTGAATAGTTTGACTCTGTAAATTAAAAAAAATATATGATTTTATTTTTCTCATTATAAAAAAGGATACGAATCGGTTTTAAGGTAATTTACCTCTGTCCACAATAAAAAGTACGTAACACAAAAAAATAAAATTAAACTGAGAAGCGTAGTCAGCCAAGTTTGTCTAAAATGATTTCTTACTGCTTGCCAATCCATCTGTAAATGTTTATTTGATTAAATTAACTAAAATTACTACTCGTATTGACAGTGATCACGATTGTTATTGAAACTCCCTTCACGTTACAAACGTTGCAAACAAGAATGCAACTAGTTAAAGTCATCTTTGATTTAACCATTCAATTAATTTTATGACTATGATTCACTAGCACCCTAATATACCTTTTAATTTTTAATATTTCGCAATTTTATGGAATGTACTACTACTATATTCCGCCCGGCCCCTTTAAGTTGACATGATTGACACTAGATATAAACATTCCGTTTCATACATATTCCATCCATTGTTTTATCGAGTTTTTCAGAATTTTAATGGTAACGAGTTATCACACTGGACCTAGAGTTATGACCATTTAAAATCATAGCATCAAACTTTATTAGTTTGTGGTATTTTTTTAAAATATATAAGTAGGTTTAATACAACTGAATTATTCTTCAGAAAGCTAAAAGCGAATTAGTACTTTCTCGGTACGTGCAAAGAGTTGTAAATGTCATTTACATATGATTCGCACGTAAACGTCACGTCAATGTCAATTGTCAGTAAGCATGGGGTGTTTGTTATTATTTACATTTTATAATTTTATCTCTGTCCAAAACAGTATATTCTTAGCAATATTATATTTTATTATTAATGATTATAGTTACTAAACTTTACGTATAGTCAATAGGAAAAGTGATTAACCAAGATTGAATATGAGGCTGTGTATTAAAAGATTGAGATTTTTAAGTGGAGGAAGTCTACATTTTTCACACACATCTCAAGTTAAACCTAGACAATACTCTCATGGCATACCATTTCTGGACTTTTACAAAAAAACTACAGGTGCAATTTTTTACAAAACTTTAATATTCAATTGTTACTAACATATAAACAAAACATAACCTGTTTATGATTGAAAAACTTGAGTAACATACAAGAATGTTTACCAGAATTTCTGAACATAGATAAAAATAACATTTTCATTACAGGCACAACTATATCTGAAGATCACCTGACAGTTCTCCAGAAGAAGCACCCACACATAATGGAGGTAACACATGACAGCTTGCAGTGCACGCTACAGATACTACAAAAGTTTGGGATCACTGCTGAGGAAGCCTGTTGCCATCCCCATGTATTCAGTATGAATCCCATCACTATGGAGAACTATGGAGATATACTTAGGGAATGTCAATTTGTAACTGTTTCAGCCAAACATATCATAAAGTAAGTCCAAATTTACTTCTTTATAATATTTTACTACTTTTATTTATTTATTTAAACTTCATGTGCTATGGGTACATAGACATACTTAATGCCTAAGGAATTTGATACCAGTCAAGTCACAAATTTTTGTTTCTTTTGTTAATTCAAATCTTGCCAGTCCACTGGTATGGGTCTTCTCATCAATAAATCAGTATTATTTCTTTGAATTTAACATGCTTTGTATGAGAGAATGCTATAGAATGTGATGCACTACCAGATTTTGAAATAAATAAACACACATTTTGTCATTGGGACTTGGACTATGGCACTTACTACTAAAAAAATTAAGATTAAGATCCTATACAGAGACAGCTCATATCAAATTGTAACTGGGGTCAGTAATGACTTAAACTCATACATTTAGTTTACAGCAGTAAGCATACTTCTATAAAATTATACTACAACCTTTCAGCAGTAAGGCAACAATGTTTTTTTCTCAATACCAAAAGTACATTTATTTTTTTACATTATCGTATCTTAAGTGAATAGAAAGAATAGTAAATAATAGTAATCAAAGAGAATTTATATTAAAATATATTTTTTGTTTCAGGTACCACACATTTATAAGAAACCGAACTATAGCTTGGCTGAAAAAGGAAGGATTACTGTCAGAAGACATACAATTAGAACAAGTATTATTGGACAAGTTCCAAGAGTGGCCAGAGAGTAGTAAAACCTTGCAAAAGTTCTGTGATACTAACACATCAGTTTGTGAGTGGAACAATTCTAAATTCTAATGAAATTTTGTAGTAATATCATTTTAATTAACAGTTTTATAAATATGTTTCTAGTAACAATTCGTATGAATATCTTGGAAAAATTTCTGAACTGGAAGTTGGCGGTGTCTTCAGAAGAGTTTCAGAAGTACTGTAGAAACTATCTGCCTCTCCAACACAAGCCAATGTCAGATATCCAAGAAGCAATCAGAATAGCTGAGAATGAGATAAAGTTCGATAAAGCAGGAATCAGAAGAAATGGCTTTGTTATTTCTGCTGATCCTTTACATACAAAACTCATTTTAGAAAATGTTAGAACACTGGCAGGCATGGATATTAGAGATGTTTTAAAAATAGAACCAGCCATATTGAAGAATAATTACAATTCTGTTATCCAAGTTCGAAATATTTTGGAGGTAATGTGTTTTGTTTTTACTTTTAATTTTGCTTGACTAGTCTTAATGTAATGTGTATAATGACTTTTTCTAAATTCCATTAGCCAAAAAGGCATTTGGAAGGTTAAAGTGTAGTTTTGTATTGATAATGATTCGTTGTAGTATATATTTTTCTAAATCAATCTAATTTATAATCATTTCAGGAGTATAGAATATCGAATGAGACCCAAAGGAAATGTTTGAAAGTATACTGTATGCGACCAGAAACCGTTCGCGAACGCCTAGATGACCTGAGGAGTTTGAAAGAGTACAAAGTGTTATCTACAAATCCTAGAGTAAGAAATCACACCACATCCTTATACTACCCTTACATGAGCGTACGGCGCGACACGTTCCGCGCGCGCCTCAAAGAGCCAAGAGATCACCTCATGATCCCGGCTGATGTTCAGCCGGGGTCGCGGGGTAAGCGCAATTAGGCACCGCGGCCTTGGCCTAGAGCAGGAGAAAAAATGGGTCATTTGAATAATTTGAAGTCATTTGATTAATTAACCTCACAAAAAAAAAATGTTATATTACCCCTAAATATACTCGTCCTACTAATTCCGAAACGATCATAAACAGTATATTTTAAAGAAGAAGTTTTCTAAGAGGTTCTAATATTTTAATTTGCAGATGCTTCTACTCGTTATCCATAAGAAGAAAATGCTCAATCGTCTCACGAAAATAGAAACGGCAAAAAAGCAATGTTTCAGTTTGAATCACTTAGTATCATCGTCGAAAGTGTTTAACAAGTAAGTCCTGTGCAATTATTTAAATATTAACAAGTATATTTAAAAAAAATCATAGAAAAGAATTAACAAAGAAACAAAACGTCGTGGTGGCCCAGTTGACAACAGCAACCAACATGTATTAGGGTACGCGTTTTAAACTTGACAAGTACCAAAATGACATTTTCTAAGTTTATGTAAGTACCTACCTACTTTCAATGTATTTAGACACACAAACGGTAAAGGGAAACATCGTGAGGATACCTGGGCTTATGATTTTTAATTAGGTACCTACTTCTTGATTTTGGACGTGTAAAAGTGCTCTTTTTAGCCTATTTGCAAAAATAAATTCATTGTTTCATTATTTGAAACTTTATTATTACTACTCAAACCTTCTCTGTGTGAGATGAGGCCTTTGCGCAACAGTAGGCAATTTTAGGCCAATAGCCTATGTGTGATAATAAATATACCTACCTACATAAAGAAAGAATCAATGAATGTATCGACATTTTCGCTTAAAAAAAATCACTATTGTGTTATAAATTTTTTACTAACCTCTATGGATGTATTAGGTAGTTGTCCGAAATAAACGTTATTTTATTTATTTTTATTTTTTTATAAATAATGATGATACGATTTATAGATATATATTTATTTTTCCACAGTTACATCAACAGTTTTGGCGACAAAGTATGCGGCAGGGACATAGCGATACTGATTACTTCGTCCCTCAAATTGCCAGCACACAACGGTAGAGGGCAGGCGGCGCGCATCACGGCCGTACTGAACCAATTGAGGCGACACAAGTACTGGCTGCACGTCGCTATGAGCGTCATCGATGAGAACATACAATTCCTTAGAAATAAGTTCGATCATCAAATCATAATTAATAACTGTGTGATACTTCTGTATCCTGTGTAAGTTTACTTTTTTAATAAAATACTTACAAGCTGACCGCCCTTGGTTCGCACGTGCCTTAACTACCAAACGAACGCTGAAAGGAGTGCTATTTTTCTAACAAACTCAATGAAAAAGAATTGGCAAAATATTACATATAAACATTAAGGTATTGGATTTTAATTAAGTAATGGTCCGCTTGATCTTCTTTTTAAATTATCAACTAGGAAGATGTTCTACTTTAAATCAGGTCGATTACGCTCAAGGTAACTGAGCAAAAGTAATACATAATATTCAGGATGGCATGATATTATATGACATTAGGGCAAGTGTTGTTTGGCATATACAGACTTCAAGGGAAATTTCAACCACATTATACTACACCACCAAACATTATACTACTTACTGACCAATTCTTTTTATGTGGTACGTCGGCAAACGGCCAGGCGGATTACATGATGGTAAGCAATATACGCCACCCATGGACACCCGTAACATATAAGTAGTTACGAGGTCGTTGCCAGCCTTTTGGGCCTTGGAGATTTAGGGATTGGGGACGCACTTACTTACACACAACACTGTGATTATTACACACCGGTTTTCTATGAGGCCGTGGTATTACTTCGATCGAGCAGACCGATTTATGCGGAAGATTGGCTTTCCCACACTTACTTAGGTACTTTATGTTTAAGAAATGTAATAACAGCTATTTTTTATTTCCAGCTCCGAAGTGAAATACTACATAGAGACGTTGCTATGCATGCGCAGTGGCCAAGAAGTGAACGACGAACAAAATGATGAGCTGAACTATAGCAACGTTCGTTACGACTGCCTCACGGACGCGCAGATACTTAGCTTAGTGTTATACACCATTGAGAAGAAATACCATTTCAGTGGAGACGGTATTTGGTGTAGGCAGGACGGTTTAAAGGTTGAATCACAGAAAAACTGACAGAGGTGCCGAATTTAGATAGGTATCAATCAGAGCTGTTTTGATAGTTCTCAAAAAGTGAGGAAACAGATAGAAATTATTTTACTTTTCCCCGCTTCATGTTCAAGTTCCACATTTGTTATAAGTAGCATGTTAACTTCTTTGGAACTACTCACTTTGTATATCAGTAAGGTTTAAAAGTCCCTCCTGTGATTACAACAGGAAATAGTAGTTAAGTTTTATAAATATATTGTTTACTTTATTACAAATTGATCCGTTTGAAAATCTACTTAAGAAATTCACGAATCAGCGACGAATTTTCCAGTTAATTCTGTCAAGAACGCCACGTTTTAATCGTTTTGTGAATATTAATTGTAAAAGAAACATTTTGGGGTGAGGCATGGTAATAGATTGCCAGCCTAAACTGACAGGTTGTTGTCCCGACAAATGAGAACTAAAAGTACCTTGTCTCATAAATAGGAACTGTACATACCTACATGATAATGTACTAATGTATATATATAAATGTGTAAGAATAATAAAAAAAACACAGTTTAAGCACATTCGTATTATAATTTCTCGTCTCCCTTATAATTAAATATTACAAAATATCCAGCTTATTGCTCTCTTAACTTAAACAATTAAATGCTCTACTAAACAAGTATACAGGGGAGAATATTTAATAATTATTACACACCCTGCTATATAATTACCGTAATCGCATCTCATCAAATGTAAAAAGAGGTTTATTTTTGGTAAACACTTTGGTCCCTTTTCTTTATAAATAAATATGATTTTATGAATTAAAAATAAAAAAGAAATCTTATAATTGGCAACACTATACTCCTAAGTCAAACAAAAGATTCTTGATTTAAATTTAAACTAAATTATTTTATTACTAGCTGCATATAAAAATGTATACCTACTTAAAGCGAATTATATTCTAGGAAACTATTATTTTAATATAATTTTCAAACCGCACTAATCGTATTGTGCATCAACCAAATGATTTTAAGCTATGTGTACCCTTTTCTTATAAAAAGATAGACATTTAACCATAATTATGTCTTAACAAAACAATATTTTTAAGTTTGAGTTACTTATATAAGTCATCCCAGATGTTTTATTCCTTTTTGTTACAAAACAAAAAAAAAACAATTTCGTTTTATCGTGAATGAAAGAACGAGCTAATCTAGATCCGAGTAAACAGATAACTTGCTAAAATATTCCTACACAAGGAATTCCAGGATTAATTAAAGCATTCACCATAAAAACGTCTTAGGTATAACATTATTCTACATTACAGATAATACTTTAAATTCATTGTGATAAGGGTGATTATTGTATTGGCAAGTGGAACTACTGAAGTACTAAAATCGAGTTGACCATTCGCTAACGAAAGTAAGAATGATCCTAAGTGCCAGAATGTCTCTTGAGATGTCGTTACCCCCCGACTCTAGTCAAGTTTGCCACTACTAATACATCGAGTACTTAGGACTCAAATTATTCCTTATATCCTCTAGATAAGAACTAATTTGTAATAACACTTTGAAACTGTCCTGGCTAAGTGCAATCGTAGCATGCCAGTTGTGAAGCTCTTTAATAAAAAAATGCTTTATTTTATCTACATAACAAAATATTAATTAGTTACCAAACTTACATTAGTGAATCCAGTCCAATTACTAAGGAATTATTGATAAAAAGTAATAGTGAAATTATAGACATACTTTTTTATAAAATTTTGTTGTAGGTACTCTTAAATTATTTTATACTATTTGATTTGCTTTTTAAACATCAAATCAAAATAAGGAACCCTATAAAAATATCTAGTACAGTATCTAATTATGTTTGAAAGTGACATTTGGCAAAATAAAAACACAATTTCTATAAGAAAGAACAATAAAAAAAACTCTCTTTAAAAAATCTTATCCAAAATACATACCTACCTAAATACAGATCTCTAAATAAGCACCTATCGGATGCTGCCCTATGTTTGGGCGACTTCTTAATTAATTTTTGGCACAAACTGTTTCACGTTTTCAAAAACTTATTTACAAAATGTTATATGCTACTTAACCCTTAACCTACCCTTAATTCAGTGAGATAAAGTACTTTAGTATACAATTCATCTACGTCTACCATCTTATACCTACAATAAAAAAATGATAATCTGGTATAACAATTTATAACAGGCACTACTGTCGAGATAAGGCACAAGGAATGCACGAGAAGCGAAGTCTACGAGTATTTCACTCTTTAAATACTGTCTACTGTCCATTGAAATGCTAGCGACATAGACACCACATAAATTCCGTTTGATAAACCTTATACCAGGTTTTATTGCTACATGTCTGTACCACTAGCGTTCTAATGGAAGCAGAACCTAATTTCAAAATTATTTTATTTATAAATTATGTAAAACCTATAAACAAATTTTTATTTATAGAGGCACGCGTTCAAATCTACATAATTATATTTAAATAAGTATATAGTATTTACATTTATTGCAAAAACTTTAAAACAAAGCATAATTTAAAACTATAAAAATATAAAATTTTACCTAACTAATTACCTATAGAAATCGAATAGAAATAATAGAATTTTATTTTGAAACGAATGAACATTTTATATGAACTCATTTCTGACACGCAGTACCTAATTAGTTCATACAAAATATAGATAACCGAAAGACGCAGAGGATAATCTGCATAATCAACTGAAACATTACTTGCTAATACTCCCTTTCGAAATTACTCTGGCTTCATACACTAACGCTAGGATAATTTCGAAAAGGAGTATTTCAATTCAAAAAAGGAGGCAGCGTGGTGTATGCCTGGCCGCTGCTGGGCTCCATCTTGACGACGACAGGCTGCGTGAGGTCTGAGTGGCGCTCCATCTCGTAGTGCTTGTCGTGTGTGACCAATGCGCACTTATCGTATTCGTCCGCCGGCGCAGCGTACCGTGGCGGCTCCTCCTGCAGTGCGCAAGCCGGGTACTTGTCCTCGTGCTCGTGCGAACGATACTCAAGCTTTTCATCGTGTGAATGCGCCTCCATCTGTGGCGAGTGAGCTGCCATCATCGGGTAATCGCGAACTCCTAGCGGAGGTGGACTACCTTCGCCATATTCGTAGGAGTGCCTCGGAGCGAACATTTGTCCATCGTGGCCATTGAGGACGGTCGTGTAAGAATACGCTGCCGGTTGAGTATTAAAACTTGGATATCCAGCACTGCTTGAAGATAAGAGATGGTGCGAAGATATTTCATAGGGGTGCTGGTACGACCAGGAGTCAGATGGAGCAGGGAGGCCATTCTGTGGGAATGCTGGAAGATTGCCACCGATGCCAGAGAAACTGCCGCCTAAGGTCGTGGAGCTTGGAGAACTGGAACCGATATATCCAGTTTTGCGTGGAGGTTCTCGCTTACGCCATTTCGCTCTTCGATTTTGGAACCAGACCTGTCGAAACAAAAATAAATTGAAGAACTGCTTCCTTACTCTCATTTTCATTTTAAATCTATTTCTGTGCTGTATATCAACGAAAACTCGATACTAACCTGTACTCGTGATTCAGACAAGTTAAGTTTAAGAGCCAATTCTTCTCTTGCGAACACATCGGGATATGGTGCGCGCTCAAACGCTCGTTCCAACTCCTCTAGTTGATAAGCCGTGAATGTCGTCCTGCAAAAAGAAAAAAAATGTTAAAACCTATTAAGTTTTTATGTCTATGACAAAGTAAATGATTACAATCTAATCTAATGCATTACAAATGCCAAGATATAAATCCAGGACTAGAACAATAAAGCTACTTAGTTTCAGTCCCTATTGCAAACACAGAAGTGGTATTTATAATAAACAGCTCCACTTAGAAACGATACTCTTAATTATGCATTCACAAATAAATTTATTCTTATCATTCACGAATTCATCTACCATCTGACGCGTGCAATATGGCTGCGGGTGGCGCACGCGCAGAAATTGATTGAGCGTGAAACTAAATTCACCCCCGTTGCGCGCGAGCACCTCTAATTGCCTGCCAATTGACTTATAGCGGCATCATGTTATTGTTTGTTACACCATATATTTAACAACACATCGTTTTAATTTTCATCTAGTGGTTCAAAAGAAATATGTGAATATGAAAATAAAAAATAAAGACAATTTCATCTTTCTTTACAAAAAGTCAGTATACATAGATACAGTACGTATTTCTATTTGAAAATAATAGTATCTGTCTGTCTGTTAGTTTTCTAGTAATGCGTATTTTTATAATAGATACGTTGTTCAGAAGTGCATTGAAATTCACATACCTATCTATAAGTTGCAGTACAAGTACCTACTTTATGAACATCATAAACATTTAGAGCTGAACTAAATAATTGCACCCGGACACAATCTACAAAGCGATCATCGTGAGATGGTGTTGCAACTACATTCATTAGGGTCCCTCCATTCAAGAGATGGTGAGATAAGGCAATTGACTCCCCGCGGTCATACGGGTAATTAATCTGAACGGAACATGTCGCCTGCGTAGCTTTATAGCAGTCATTGCAAGACGTTTGTTTGAAGTTTAACTAGTTGCTTGGAAGTGGGTGCCGCTCGCAGCTTTGTCTAGATCATAAGGGTGTCGAGCCATTATAAATTATTACCCGACCCGTGTATTTACAATCTGATAAAGTATCTAAATATGACTTTGAAAATAATCTCAAAGTTTGACGGTATTATTGACCGTTACATTATTAATTAAAAATTCTAAACAATATTAAATATATGTATGATACCCGCATAGCAGGTTGGATATTGAGTTTTAATAAATACCTGTGATTGTTACGTAAAGATACTGTAACTTTGAAACACAAAACATATAATAACTACGTAGGTATAGTGTAGCTATCCGGATCGGAAGAAATGTGTAAAAGATGTAGTAATGTAAAAGAAACTAAATCCCCGATCCTAAAATATCCCAAAAGCAAGATGTTGCGGGTAGCCATGGGCGGCGCTGATTGCTTACCATCAGGTAATCTGTAATTACCAATGTCGTGCTTGCTCAGCAGTAGGCACTTATAGGCTGATGATGATGATGATGATGATGATGATGATGATGATGATGGGGTTATCTGTGTGATAGTTTGCCGTCCTACCACATAAAAAAATACTAGCTTTATTGTGGGGTAGGGTGGCTCATCTAATGGCAAGCAATCGACGCCGTGTAAGGGTTTTTTTGGTTCAGGGCCGGGCAGGAGGGAGTGTCAGACTCTTACTGACTAAAAACCCCCCTGTTCCTTCTCCTGCTCTGTGCCGAGGTCGCGGTGCCTCATTGCGCTTACCCCGCAACCCCGGCGCCGTGTAAGGTGCCCGTGACATATTGCTTTTGGGCGATTTGAGGATTGGGGGTTTGTGATGGAGGAGAGGACGGAAGAGTAACGAGTGCGATACCAAACTTTTGGAAGGGATTTGGAGATTTTGTGACTTGGCGAGAGAAAAGATTGGGCCTCAAGTAACCTCACTCACACAGCGAAACACAACGTTGTGGTTGTTGCCAAAGCATGGCTCTCTCACATTTCTATCTAGTATTCTAGTATAGTGTAAAACTACTTCTTGAAATTTGGATCAAGTCTAATCTGACAAAATTGACGAATTCTGACAAAATTATGTATTGTGGTGACCTAATACCACCTTTTGTGATGACATAATACCTACAGACCAAGTATGCTATAAGTTCTAAGGATAGCTTCAGCAATGTTTCATATTTTTTCCTCTAAATTACAAAAGTAGTATGTTATAAATTGATTTCTAAAAAAGTAAACAGTCAATAAAACAATATCAGGCCATATGGTTTTATCACGTTTTAAAAATCATCGTATTAGTTATGCAAATAATAAAACTGGGGTGGTTTGGCGATGATACAATACAAAAGGTACGATAAAGTAGGGAGGGTGCGCTTGCGCCGGTCACCTGTGACTGCGGCGCGTGCCGACACACGTGGACCCACTACTAGTTAATTCGAATTCACAACTGAATGCATTACAAGTTATTGTTACACTTCAGGTAGCAGTTGGAAATGGCGAGTTCAGTGAATAGGTAGGTATAGGAATTTGGAATACTATAAATCATAGTACAAGCACATTTTGTTACTAACTTATTAACAATTGATGGACTATACTTATATATTGGTCTGATATAAAGATATTTTAATTTAATTAATAATACTCATAAAGCTATGAAATGTATAAACGACGTTAAAACTGGTTTTGTTTTAATTGAAAATTAAATTTCGGTTACTCTAATTATAGGATCTCTCAATTTTTCTCGTTTAATTGGCAATGGATAGTCCATTGTAATTAAAAATATGTATATTCAATATTAATAATTTGAAACCCCTAAATATTTCTGCGCGGTACAATTAAAAATTACGAGTATCCTAATAATTAATCATTAGGATCCTCGTAATCCACAATAGTTGACTAATATAAAGTAAAAATATTTTTACATCTCAGTAAAAATGGAACTAAGTGGTTTTGGCCAAGCATTTTAAAAATAATTTATCATAAGCCAAAACGTTTGTGTAAAATATAGTTTAAAAATAAATGAACATTAAATTTTATCTGCAAATGTCACCACAATTCAAAAGTTCTCTGCTACGTATTTTCGGCGAACTTTTCGTAGCTGAAAACTACGAACTCGCTACGTTCTCAAATGACTACGCCTGCTTCGTAGGCATCTTCGTAGCAAAGAAAATTCGATATGTAGCGGGCGGGCGTAGAGATATTTTGATTTGTTCAGTGAATGTTAGTTGTAGATCTATTTTTAATGTTACAATAAATAATTTGTACACCGTAATAAACTTTAGTATAGATAAAGGAATATGATCTAACACTTACCTAGTTTTCTTCTTCTTGATTCCATTATTGTCACTTTTCTTTTTGTCGCTCTTCTTAGTGGACGGTGGTGGTGGAGGCGGTGGGGGATGTGTTGCCGGGCTGGAGTCCACTGCTTGCAGCAGTAAAGGTTCCTCCTTGCGCTTCTGGTCCCCAGCAGGGGCGAACGCGACCGGCCGCTCGTCACGGTACAGGTCGCTGATCTCGCCCACCACCACCTGCACGTGGTGCTCCTTGCCGAACTCTCCGAACATGTGGTCGTCGAAAGGTGGCTGCTCCATGTGGTGGCCTGGCTCGAAGGCGCACTCGTAGCGCGAGCCGGCGCCGGCGCCCTCGCACACGTACATGTAGCCGTCGGCGGCGGGCGGCAGCGGGCCCGCTACCTCGGCGCGCACCTCGCTTGGCTCCGTCGCGGCGGCCTCGCTGCCTGCCGTACACAGCTCGCTCCACCGAACTCGACCCGACACTCAGATTTATCTACTCCGATATTAAACAATTTGACTTCATTTAACCAAACCCCCGGGATCGACGAACGCTCGCGCCGTTCGTATCCTCGTGTCCGTCCCGGTTAAATGGCTTTAATCAACTTTAACGAACTAACCGAATTTGGTCTACGGTTGGTCAATTTATATTACCATAATACGTCGCTCGACGTAGGTTTTGAACCAATGAGTAGTGCGTCCGAGAGAGTCGACAGCGAGTGTGCAAATGCTATTGTCAGTCGTAGTGTGACGCCAGAGGGAGCAGATTCGAATACGTGAAGCGGGCGCTTACGGCAGTGGCACGCGTGTGTCGGGAAACCAATCGCGGCAGAGTGCAGCCACTCCCCCGGCGCGCGGCACGGCGCTCCCCTCGCGCCGGGTGCTGCGGGCCGCGCGACTCCGCACTGCCGTCGTCGGCGCACCATGCGGGATTCCCACAAACTCTCCCAATATTTGTTTGTATCGATGCTATTGTAGGGCGCGAACGCCCACATCATTATTTTGAAAGTCCATAGTCCTTTATTGTAAATCCGTATCAACACCACTCATATGTCTCTTTCATGATTTATAGTCGTGGGAAAAACAGAATATCCATTGCAAATTCATTTCTATCACATTATAATCAGCAAGACCGTTTCCGATATTTGTAAGACTCTATTGACATACCTGTACTACTTGTAGACGTTGTCCCCAAAAAAATACCAAATATTTATACTTAAACCACCAAATACCTATAAATAAATTGCATATCAACCTCAAAATAAATTCGGATCTACGTTCACTGTAATTTAAATAAATGTTAAATCAAACACTACATATGAATAGTGGCAGTACCTGTGAATGACAGAACGAGCTCGCACGAGATGCAGCTGATATGAATGCGCGCTGCGTCGAGACGGCGTACGCGCACTGATGCCGATCGACGACACCATCGCTTAATTATTAATTAACAGTAACTGCAGGCTATTATTAATAAAACATTCGCCCTGACTATTGGCACTTAGATTAGCGCCGAGGGAGTAATGGCGCATTTCAACAATTTCGGTTGTTATTTAATTGAAGTCAATTTAGATGATCAGAGTCTATTTAGGTTGGTGCTGGCGCTCGCCAGCGGGATCTCTGCTTCATTGGGCTTATTGGTGACTTTCAGACAACACGAATTGCACTCGCTGATGCACTTCTCGTCGCATTTGCAGTTTTGCGTGGTTTGAAACAAGTGGGTCATGGTCCTACGCATTCTCCTTTGACTCATGTGCGTCGATATGATTGTGTTATAATCTTATGTCTAATAGAATAATATTTCTTGAAGACGGAGAGTGTTTTGTGTCAAAGTATGGTGGTTGTTGTGAAGTGTGGAAACCAAACCAAAGTGGGAAGTGCTACAGCGTATCAGTGGCGTGATCTGTTCACGACGTCAGTGAGTACCGCATCGGAACATTTCGTGCCAAGTAAAATTAAGCGCTAGCTATGACGTAGGTACAAGTTGTTTACTTACGTTAAAACCTTTGATAATATGTTTGTACTATAGAAAGTTAAATGTTTCGATTTATTCGAGATATGCAAATTCAATGGTGTATTTCTTAAATAATGCATGCTTCCATAGGTATTACAAACAAATTGGGAATTAAATAAAGGCAGAACATATTCAATGTTAACCATTATCCAACAGTTCTATTAAAGATTTATGTTATTTTTTAGGAGTAGTAAAGCATTTGAGCCCTTTATTTTTTTTTATTTTATGTAAAATTCCAAATGTTTGGTTCAATTAGGCACTGGTTCAGCATCTATGAACAAACATATCCTTCGACTACAATAAAAATAACAAAGTAAATCGACATAAATTACATTTATATTTAAATTGTTCAACGTTTTATTTATCTCTATAAACCTGTAAAGTAAAAAACACTTAGCAAGATCAAATACTTTACTTCATTATAACGTACTTAAAACTTAAAAATATGCCTCTTCTAATGACTGTGGAAGCTGCTATTAAATGGAATATAGATAACTATCTATTAGTGGAAAAGAGTACAATACTCTTTAAAGCCAATTTCTATTAATTGTATGTCTATTGTCCTACGGACAGAAAGTATATAGATTTTTTTTTTTCGTTACTTCACTGGCTCACAAATATTGTGTGAAATTTTGTTTGCATTGCACCTTGCACGTATTATTAAGTTTCTGTCGCCCTTCCTGAATTACCATCTTTTGTAATATACTAGCTACTTGCTGCTCGGCTCCATTTGATCGTAGCGTGATGTTTTGTAATCTATAGCACTTAGGAACATTGTAGCTATCTATCGGTGAAAGATTTTTGGCAATCCGATCTAAGGTTCCAAAGATTACCCCTACATACAAACTTACAAATTTTACCTCTTTATAATATGTATTAAGTATAGAGTTTAGATAATTTTGCTTTGTGTGACGTGATCCTACCTTACTATTTTCCCCTGTGGCATCGATGGGTTTAAGACTAGCCAAGACAAACACACGATTTCACATACCTAAACATCACACTTCTGAGTGTGATGTTTTGACCAGAACAATAATCCTATGCCAACAAATTAGGTGTAAAATTTTAAAATAGAGAACTATCCAATAGATGTTATATCTACTTTTCTTTTTCTCCTCTCTTATTTGATAACGATTTTTAAACCAAAACAATAAGTGAGTACTTATTTATTCGTGTGACTAACTGACTACTTTATTGATAAAAAGAGCTAGGTTTGACTCATACGTGACCTATGAGGTTTTGTAAGGTCTTATAACATAAAAGAAGAGTTTGCTATGTTTAGGTACTTTGCGTAAGCTCTTTTGTGTTTGTGAAAATTACGGTAATATAATTTTGAGCCATATTAAATTCCTACGACAGCTTCATTACATTAAAAGATGTACAAGATTTCCATTGTCCACTTTTTTGTAAATCCTACTTTTTGTTTACTAAATGCGAAAGTTAAGATTTTTGGATGTTTGGATGTTTGTTACTCAATCATACCAAAACGGCTGGACGGATCTGGATAAATTTTTGAAGCTAGTAGCATATTTTAATGAATTTGAATATAATGGCATAAACATATACAGTTTACGAGGCAAAAACTACCTATGACACTATTGGGTATTGAAAAAAATAATTTTTTTTTCTTCTACTTCTTATGACGTCTCACAATTTCTTTAATTTTTTTTTATCTCTCTGGCCTCATCCCAACCTGTTAAGGGCCACAACAATATGTCTTCTTTCCTATTCACAGATATTCCAGACTTCACCATATCGCAATTTTCTTTCTACCTCATATCAGCTTCGCAAAGCCAAGTCTAACTTTTGGCCATCCACTATCTTGTCTAATTAAGATTGTGTTTTGCCGTGTCAGTAAGTTACCGGAGAACCAATTTCAAGCCCCAATTTCTAATTCCTTGAATCCTAAATCTCTTTTCTCTCTCATTCGTGAAAAGCTGGCAACACCCTTGCAACTATTCTGGCATCATTTCTGGTATCGATGGACGGCGCTGATGATGTTTCATCAAGTGAAACGTTAGCTCGTTTTCGGCCTTATCCCTTAAGAAAGTAAAAAGCTTTTCAAGGTGGCTGGAGTGAGGTCACTCCAGCTCAAAGTGTGATATCGAAGACACTCTGTTTTTTTAATTAAACCTTAATCAGCACTTGTAAGCAATAAAAGAAATAAATCTAACAATTGTTAAATTGTTAAAATCCAAAATTAAAACGATTGTCAGTGGTCGATATTCAGGTCTGTCAACTTTAACTCTTTAATATTTCGTCGGTCTATAAGTACCTCTAGTAGTAGCATGGATCCTAGAACTGTGCCTTATGATGTTAGCAAAATCTCCCTACACTAGATTCACAACATACATGTAATATAATAGCTTTCTTCCGTGACTCCACCCGCATGCTATATTAATAAAATCCAGCCTATGTGTTAATCCAGGCTGTCACCTATCTCGGGTACGTTGTTATATCAGCGGTAATACCTTTGAGGAGTGGCTTGAGAAACGCCACGGAGTCCTCACCTTCCGCCGATGCAGATGCTTTCGGTAAGCATGGCAGCTTCGGTAGGTTCAACAACTCAGAGGACACGGTAGCGCATGCGGTGGCAGTGTACCCTGCTTAGGTTGAGCACCACAGTGTCCTCAGGGAAGTGATCGGCGGTGGCGACCTCGGGCGCATGTCTGTAATAGAGGTGCGGAGCGAGAGGAACTGGGAAACCATCTTCCTATTTCTTCGATACTCGCAAAGAAGGAGGCAGAGCGCGCAAGGGAGTTGTCCTCCTCACGGTCTATCCTCACGGTAGCTCGCTATCCGACCAAACCTGAGCGTACGGCGCGACAACCTATCTACATACCTAATTCAAACAAATCGGTCCAGCCATTTTTTTGTAAAAATAAAAAACAAACATACATGCATACATTCTCACAAACTTTTACATCTTTAAACTTATAATAAATCTCTAGAAAGGTCAATTCTGTACATGAAATATATTTTCAAAATATAGGTAAACTTGCTTAATTCGTACCTGCGCCTAAATCGTACCTCGTCTATATCTCGGCATGGGTAATAGTTACCAGCGCCTCTGATGGCATAAAATGTCAATAATAGTCGGCCAGATTGCCATATGACAAATAAACACCTGTTACGTTGCTCCCGACAAAAATATTGAACGGGTAAGATTTTTCTCACTTTTTGAGTAATTTTTTTGCATACTTCACAAGAACTGTCTTCCAAGTATACCGTTCATAAGTTGTTTAACTGTTTATTATATATTTATACGTATATTTGTGAATATATTTCACATGGTAAAGCCGGCTTGTTCGTCGACAGTTTTTTTTGCGGCTAATTTGAAATTCATTTGATACTTGTGCCTAATTCGTACTCGCAGCAACTTCTTAAAACGTACGTACGTACGATTTAGGAAAACAATGTTTAATATCACAGTAAATATTAATTACCTACTTGATAATTTTTTAGTTGTGTTTTTATTTAATAAAACTAAATAAAAACATTATTTTATCCAGTAATTGTGAAGTATGGGTACATGAGCTATGTGCAAGACGAGTTAAAAAAAACTAAATTTTATTACTGCGATGACTTTCAAGATTTGGAAAAGACCATCCGCTGTATTAATAAGAATTAGGTAATCTAGGTACATTAAGATTAAAAAGAGTAGAAGATTATTAAGATTGTGATTTTTAAGACTGTAAAACTGAAAATAAGATCTCAAAGTACGATTTAAGAATATACTGGTACGATTTAAGATCAATGGTCTTAAATCGTACTTTTTTTAAGTTTTTGAAAATTGTTTATTTCTCAGAAGTTTATAAGATTTATGTTATTTTTTATCGGAATACTAATAGAACATTAGTTTAATTATAACTACTTAATATAAATAACTGGGTATCATTGTTCATTTTCAAAATTTTCGAGTTTCTCCTTAAGTGGTACGAATTAGGCAAGTTTACCCTAACTATCAGAGGGTAATTAGTGATCGATAATGAAGCCAATAATACAATCTGTAAAATTTTTATGTGTCTGTATGTTTCTTATAGGAATAAAAACTACTCGTCAGATTTTAACGAAACTTAGTACAATTATTCATCATGTTCTTGGGCAGGTAATAGGATAGTTTTCATCACGCTACAATTAATAGGAGCAGTGCAGTGGAGTTTAAATGTTGGGAAATCGGGAGAAGTTATTTCATTTTTAAGCGGTCGCCGCGTAGCACCTGTCCCTTATGGTTAAGATAACATAGAAATCATGTCTCACGGAAATATTCTACATAAAATTACCTAAAAAGTATTTCACCACAGATGATGTCTGTCTTTAATGGTTGACTCATAATATCTCGTGTAACTCCTGTTACCTTAGCAGTTCGGAGCACGCTAATTATATTTGTTTACTCTTACGTTTATAATACTCTCACCCATCCCAAGTTTATATTAATACCAATTCAATGAAAAATTATGATAGAAATCAGTATGAAAACATCAAACTTATACATGAAATACGCTATGAATGCGTACACCTTTGCGACTCCATGCAGCAAGATAATAATACTCTGAGTATGGGCGATTTAGATTTTTAACCCTCTCTTTTTGCAGTTAGTCCTCGCTACATGCACGAACGTACTTAAAAGTATAATAACATCCATAAAATAGTGGAAAAATTAAGTATCAGCATTGCACCCGTGCGAAGACGGGGCAGGTCGCTAGTTTATAATAGGTATTAGTAGGACTTATGTGACATTATACACCATTGTGTGTACTTTTGCCTACCCTTACAGAGATAAAAGTGTGGGTGTGCGACGATTAGTACCGATATAAAACAAGAATGCGAGTTTCCATCAGCATCTATCTCTTGTTTATCGATGTGTTAAACTCTAAAAAAAACTACAAGTTTATTCGAAATGCGCCACCAATTTTTAAAGTTGGTTCTTTGTCAAAAACACCACTAGTTAAATGTTTTATTGTCATAGCTTCTGTCTTGTGTTGTCTTCTACATATTATCTACATTCTACACACATAGCAATATTTATCGCAATTTTTTTCCCATTTTTACATTAATTATGAATAATAAAAATTGCTTATATAATGTGCCATACTTATTTATCCTGTTGGTATTTAGGTACAACGCCTACGTGTAAATTTCAATAAAAGGTTTACACCAATATAAAACTAGTTGCAGCGTTTTTTAACAAGAACTTATACTTAAGTCGATTTCTACAGACCAGGAAAAATAGACATTACCAGTTTCAATGTGTGAATTGGGTCTGTAACGATGGCCACGATACCCACACCAGTAGAAACTTGCTTACCCAGGATGGTAATGACACTATTAAAATTGACAGAACTAGTCTCCTTATTAAGTAGTAGTATATCGATAATAGTCCGATTCCACCAAATTTTTTTCAGACCTTCAAACTTCAGAGAAGTAGTATTTTGATCTATTCTTCTACAATTTATGATGATTTGTTTTAATATTTTAACATAATTATACTTATTGGCTATCGTAATAACCAAAACTCTTAATATTTTATTTGAATCATAACTAAGTAAGTAAGTAATTCGGTGCTGCACTAGTTTTGAAAGAATTTTTATAGCCTTCTAAAATAGAGAAGGTAAATTTAGTTGTTTTTTTAATTTTAAGTACGGAATCTTGTTTCATATCATACCTACTAGCTACTCTCGCGCGGTTTCACCCGCTGCTCAGCTCCGTTTGATCATAGCGTGATGTTTTATAACCTATAGCACTCAGGAACATTGTAGCTATCTATCAGTGAAAGAATTTTGGCAATCCAACCAGCAGTTCCAAAGATTACCCCCTACATACAAACTTACAAATTTTACCTCTTTATAATATTAGTATAGATAAGGGGTACATATTTTTAAAAAGTGTTGCGCGACTTTCATTCACTTCGTGGCTTTTTTGCCTGGAGGTAAGCGATGATGCGACCTACGATGGAGCACGCCTACTCCTAAGCAATCTATTCACTCAGGCCTTAAGGACACTCAGGTCCACTCCTTACAAATAACGTCACGATCATGAAAATGAATGTAAAATACAACTCTAAACACAATAATTTGTAGGTAATTATATAAAATTTTCATCGATGGATTCAAAACATTCGTTGATTTTACAAGTGGAAAACTAGTCGTCGAGTCGCGTGTCGCGGAATGCTGCTCATGAATATGGGCCTCTAGCATGGCTTGAAACTAGTCGAGTATCTCGTCAAATTATTACGTGAGTAAGCCGAAAACATAATAAATAATTTAAAATGTCTCACGAAAGTTATAATAAAAAAAAGTGGAAAATTAGTTAAGGATTAAAATCTTTGCCATGGCAACGGTTTTATACATGCTTAGTTATGAGGCACATAACCCACGGATCCCTCATTTAAATTCATGTATACACAGTCAATTACTATGTAAATATTCGTGTTAAATAGAAGCGTGCTAGGAAAAGGCCAGGATGATGTACAAGTGAGTCATGTGATGGTCGACGCGTAGGCGCTTCACATAAAATCTCTCTGGCGACGGAGCGCGACGCAGAATCTGCCGCCCGCTCAATTGGACTCAATTGCTTTAATTGATTTCAATTGAAATGACCTCGCGCACCGGCTCCCGGCTCCCGCTTCTAGTCTGACACTTTTACATCTATCTTTTTTGGAACTGACATAAAAGCTCTAAGATAAATTTCATTGCCCCCAATGAAACGAGACAATCGTTTGTCACAGCAATATCCTCGACAATAAATGTTTTGTGTATCTGTTCTCCATAAACGAATACCATTAAATATCATTTTATTTCTCAACTGACATTTTTATGAAGTAAATTCTTAAACGGTCTAAGACTACAAAAGTACTTCGACTGCTTTGTTTGTCAAATGGTTCCAAGCTTGACTGCCGTCTAAGGTTACTCGTATTCGATTACCAGGGGTATTATTAAAGTCTTAAGTTTTCAGTTGTAATAGATATAGTGCAAAATTGTTGCCAGTGTATTAAAATAGTACCCTTATTTCATGAAATTTTATAAAGGTCACCTAATAGGTACTTACATAACTCTTCAGAAAATAAATCAGTGTGGTGTGGTAGTATATGTAGGTATACCTACTATAGAAGAGAAAATGTGATAAATATCTACCGATAATAATAAGTAGTTGAGCTTTATCTAGTTATTTAGTTACCTTGACATGTGGTTTCATACCCTAATTATTACATGCCAACAAATGACGTACATAATACTGATCAACTTTTATTTGTTACAACAACGCTTACCAAAGTTTAAAAATAATGACAGAGAATAAACAATGACGGTATGACATTAAAAAGACATCACACATTTTGGCACGTGTTCTATCCGGTGCACAATTGGTCTTAATTAGGAAATGGCGGCGCGGGCGCAGACGCCGCTTTGCCGACCATCTTCTGCCGCCACGCAACGTCACCATGCTCATAGATACGTAAATAATTACTCTGCATCTGCATTTCGAAACATTTAAATTAACTGTAGTCATTCAATTATTAAATCTATTTAATTACAACACATGTACAGTTGCCCGTCTTAGAAATCAAATCACGCACTCGTTAAAATGAGTAACTGCATTTAACAAATCAATTAAAGATTAAAGATATATCTAAGCAGAAGGTTTAAAACTTTAACGTAGGTAGTAATTGTGTCTTTTTCTTAGGTTGCTTTTTAGGCTTGCTTTTACTGCTGCCCCAAAAGTGTCCTTTCTTATTTGTGCTGGTACTTGGCTCATCGACACGATTAGCGGAGCCTAACTGCTCTAAGTGCACATTTTTCTCAGTCCCATACATCACGCTCCACCGTGGACGCCCATGTACCTCCTCTACATTATCATTATCAGAATGTGATACCGCCTTAATTTCTTCATCAAATCTTAATTTCTTTTGGACATTTGCATGTTCAAGTTTTTTCTCACTTATGTCCGTATTAATTGAAGCAACGCTCCCTGTCACAACGATGGTCGAGTCAAAATCAAGGCTTTGCATTTCCTCTTCTTCTTTTCCTTTTTGGGGTGAAAGTTCAGTTAAGTATTCTGAACTTTTTCCTTCACGGTACAGTGGTAACTGAGCAGAAATAGATCTTGGCCTTTTAAAAAAGTTCAAAATACTTAACTCTTCAGATATGCGTTCCGTGGATACACGATCGTCTAACTCAAAAACATTGATTTTCGTTGATCTTTTCTTTCCCTCATAATGAGTTACTACATCTTCTATCTCAGAATTCAACTCCAAAGATTTGTTGGTCACAGAAGCTGTACTTAATGTATGCATTTCTATTAAACTTGATCCTGTTTGAACTGCCGTGTCCGTTAATGGACTAACTCCCAATTTATTAAGCTCTAATTTCCCATAAGAAAATATTCGTTGGGTTAAGTCTATTTCAACATCTTCATTCTTTACGGATGCCGCTTTTTTCTTATATCTCCATTGAAATAATCTAAGAAATCGCCTAATAAAAGGACTGACTGAAGTTGTTTTTATTCTCATATCAGTACATTCCATGTAATCTTGAATACCACCACTTCGATAGAAATCCTTTGAATAATCGTCGGTGTCATATGGAGACCTCATAATAGGGTCCAAGTATAAACTGAAAACAAAATCACATACATTTGAAACATGTTTGATTCTTTCCCGTCACAATTTATATATACATTTAAGTAAACCTACACATTCTCAGCAGCATCGGTGTATATGAAAAAGGCTTCAGAAACTCTAGGCACACATCGCTTAAGCCAATAGTGTATGATATATAGTAAAGTTAGTAAAACTGCTAAGAAAGTTATGGCGGCAAGGCACACATTGTGCTGGAGTCCCGCTGATCTTCCACACATCAGACGATCCTCGTCGTATATGTCTGAAATAAGAAGTATTCAAAATTCCTGTAGACATTTGCATTTCAAAATAGGACTGGAAAACATTATACGAACTTGTTAAATCCACCCCAATACAGACATACAACAAAAACATTGAATAGGTTATTCCTAAATTCTAAGGCTCAATTTATTGTCGATAATTTTTACCAGCTAAATAATGATTTCAGTCAGTTTAACAACCTTATTATTATTCATTCGAAACCTGAACATATGCACTATTATTTAAAAAAATGCATATTTTGTATCTCCTGACTGTATAAGAGTTTAGCAAATGTTAATGGGTTACCATAAGAACCACAGTTGGGTACCCCGTCACAAGCGCTGAGTGAGTCGATACAAACGCGTGCGCCGGACACCTGGCACTCGAGGTTCGCCGACGGACAGTGCGCGTCGCTGGACAGCAGAGTACGCGCCGGCGTTATCACCACTGTCATACTCTCCAGCTGCAAGCCGTATGTAGAGAAAATAGTAAACCTTTTTATATCTATACAAAAATCGAGGTAAGGAGGTTAAACAAATTTGAGTTTGTATGTAGGGGATAAAATGTCGTGGTAGTGGCCCGGAGGTTAAGGATCTCGGCAAGTACCAATGAGACTTTTCCGAGTTATATGTACTTTCTATAATTATTTAGACACCACTGACATGCGGTGAAGGTAAACATCGTGAGGAAACCTGGACTTATAATTACTAAGTAATCAAAAAAAAAGTTTGAGACCTCCAACCCACATTGAGCAAGCGTGGTGATTAATTCTCTAACGTTCTTCGTATGAGAAGAGGCCTTTGCTCAACATGGGCACTCATAGGCTGATTATGATGATGATGATGATGTAGGGTATAATCTTATGGACTGCTGGTCGGTTTTCCCAAATTCTTTTACTGATAGATCACAATCAATATTCTTAAGTGCTATCTAAAATAATGTTTTAAAGGGGCTTTTTTTTTTTGTGAGAGGAAAATCATCAAATGACTTCTCCCGCCCAGGGCCGGGCAGGAGGGAGTGTCAGACTCTTACTGACTAAAAACCCCCCTGTTCGTTCTCCTGCTCTGTGCCGAGGTCGCGGTGCCTCATTGCGCTTACCCCGCAACCCCGGCTGAACATCAGCCCTTTAGGGCCCCATCTGTGGTGGTCTAATGGCTCTTTGAGGCGCGCGCGGAACGCTACGCGCCGTACGCTCGGGCCTGGTTCTGGTCGGGCGGCGAGCTGCCCTTACTCGCCGACCGCAGGCCCGTGCTTACGGTGGCCGGAGATCGTCCCTTGATCCCCGACGCCCGTAGTGTCGCCAGTTGCGGCTGCTGGGGCGTGAGGAGGAGGATTGCTCCCTCACGCGGGCCGCCTCTCTCTTTGCGAGCATGACTGCTTCACAAAAGGAGGAGACGGCGTCCCAGTTTCTCTCACTCCGCACCATGGCCTCGACTAAGGCCGGGCGCGAGAGGTCGCCGCCGCCGATCACTTCCCTGAGGATACGGCGGTGCTCAGCCCAGGCAGGGCATACCGCTACCGTATGCTCCACCGTATCCTCTAGGTGATCCTCACAATGACGACACTCGGGCGTTTCCTCCCGCTGGATCCGAAACAGGAACCTACCGAAGCTGCCGTGCCCGGTAAGCACATGCGTCAGACGGAAGGTGAGGACGCCGTGGCGTCTCTCAAGCCACTCCTCAAAGAGGGGTCTTACCGCTGCTATGGTAGCGTGCCCGAAAGGGGCTAAGTATGTAAGTTTGTTTGCAGGGGACAACCTTTGGAACAGCTTGTCGGATTTCCAAAATGCTTTCACTGATAAATAGCTACAATGTTCCTGAGAGCTATAGGCTACCAATTATATGTACTTAATTAGAGTATTTTAGTCGAGCTATCGCTTTAACCGCTGCTGTTTTTCGGGATACATTATTTCCATACTCGTGTAAAGCCGCGGGCGGAAGCTAGTTTATAAATATTTGAAGAGATTCAGATATTGGTTGATAAGAACAAACAGAAATACTCGTGATTGACCATGCAACAATAAAATGTAGAAACAATGAAATACAGGGTGGCATTTTGAACGAGGGACATTTTTTTTAAACATTATACTTAATACAACTTTTAAGATGGGACCAATATCCAAATCTCGATAATTAATGTTATTTCCCCGTACAAATCGCAATAGCTGATTTCATGGAGTCGCATTTTGCATGAAGAAGTTTTCTTTTTGAGATATCCATATTGGTCTTATAGAAAAAGTTGTTATAATTGAGCACCAGAATCGGGTCCTTGAATATATACTTTGTTCAAAACGCCACCCTCTATAAAGGAACTCACAGTAAAATTGGAAATAGCGAGAACAAGTCTGGATGAGTTGAACATGTAGATGTGTCTTGCAGCTGGTTCATTAAAGTCACAGATGTTGAATAGTACTGGCCCCACATAGTGACGTAGGTGGCGTTTCACTACGCGGTCGTGAATCTGGAAAAAATAAACTAGACAAACCACATCAGTACCACTACCTTTATTCCCAAAACTGTCTCCTCCCGGATCTCAAGACTTCAATATAAATTTAACCATACAACTCCATTTTTAAGTGTGGGAAACGATGCTTCAGCACGAATGGGTCGACTCGACCGGAGTGATACTACGGCCTCACAGAAAACTGGCGTGAAACAACCACAGCGTTGTGTTTCGACGTGTGTGTGAGGTTACCGGAGGCTCAATTGTTCCCCTTCCCCAATCCCTCCCCTATTCAAAATCTCGAAATACCTAATCCCCAACAGGTCCGCAACGCACTTGTAGTTCCTCCATTGTTGCGGGTGTCCAAGGGCGGCGATGATTGCTTTATCATCAGATAATCCATCTACTCGTTTGTTGACTAAAAAACCATATCAATTATGTAGTTCTACTAAATGGGGTTAACGTTTTGATTCGTAACAGACCTCGTCATCCTGCAGTTCTATAAATCGCTGAAACTCCTGCGCATTTGATATTCTGTCGCTCGGTGGGGTCGGGGTAGAGATGTCGAGCTGCACTGGTAAGTGATGAGGCTTCACATGGTTGATGGCGATAGCGTGTATGTATCGTTTCCTACGCTGCCGTGTCAGTGTTGAGCTACTGCAAGTCATTCATTATTTATTTACTTTATTTTATTTATTTGAGACTTCATGCACAAAACACTGTACATAGGCGGACTTAATGCAATGAGCATTCTCTACCAGTCTACCTTTGGGTGATGCAGAGATAATCTGGTGGCAGGTGCAAGAAGCAAGCAAATTGAGTTAAATATACCAAGCATATATATAAAATCATATATGATACGCTTTACATACATACATAATATATACATACATTATAATACATATTTATAAGGCAGTAAACATATATATATATATATATATATATATATATACGTATATGCAGTCATAGTCTTTATATACTCTAGGGATTCTACAAATTTATTTAAGTCACTATTTTGCTTATTATACTTATTTAGTCTAACCATCCCCAACTTCCCCAACAACAAATATCTTATTTTATTTTACCTATATCTTTTACTAAATTCTATACGAGGCCAAATTCTCGATTTTATTATGTTGTTAGAGCAATAATTAGTAAACAATGAAATCTATGTAGTAGTATGTTAGTCTCATGTTCAACCTTAACTTAGCTTTAAAGCGTTTCAGAGAGTTGTATCAACACTTGCCTTAATTTCGATATCGCTTCGTAGTCTCCCTGCGGTTCAACGTCCTCCCGGGGCGTGACGGAGTGGTTCAGTACGACCGCCATCACAGATGCCGCGTGTACCATGTTCTCCCATGACTTATGATCTAGTAGAGTCAAAGGCTTTTCTCTAAAAAACACATTTTTTCATTCAGAAACATACCATAAAATGTAATAGCAGACGTTTCTGAATTATAAGTACTTTGTTTTATTTGCTACTTGTAACGATAGTTTTTAATTATTTGGCGAACGCGCTGTCTCCATATATGAAAGTACCAGGCCACAAACTATTTCATTTACATTCAATATTTGTAAATCCTTACATAATCATATTTCTTCATATAAACTAAACAGGAAAGGATAAAGAGTCAAACTATCCAATAAATAAGACATAACTATCGAAACAGCCGAGCATATAATGCGTCGACTAACGGAAATGGATCGTTGTTATACTAGTAGGCGGTCGCCAAATAATGTAGAATTATTTCACCATTTACACCGCACACTTTCTCGGAATAAAACAGGTGTAGGTAAATTCAACTTAGAATGTAAGTGGACCACAGCAAGGAAGAATTATAATTAACCTAGAAGAACGATCACATGATTGAAGAAGCACTGATAAATAACTTTCCTACTAACATTATTTTAGAGGTAGCATCCTACAAGTGCCCACTGCAGAGCAAAGGCCTCTTCTCACACGAAAAATATTCAAGCATTATTCACCTCGCTTGCTCAAGATCTAAAATTTACAATTAGAAAATATACGTCCAGGTTTCCTCGCCATGTTTTCCTTTACCGTTAGTCCGTGGTATCACGGCAAAAGTCACATTGGCCAGGATGCCAGGTTTCCACTCTCAAGCATGAGAAGCGGTCACCTTAAACTCAGGGCCACCACGACTTTTAGAGGTAAATATGAAGCAAAATTTTTATAGCGCAGCATAGCTAATGCTTTAATTACAAAGGGCGGCGTTGATCACTTACAGTCTGGTGATCAGTCTACAAGTTTGCCACCATTTTCATAAAAAAAAACAGGTAAAACTGAATTGAATTGTAAAACTATTTGAAAAAGAGTAACCAATTGTTCGGTTACGAGATCCTTACCCGCTCCTCTCCTTTCCATCAGAACCTAGTCTTTGAAACTACCATATAGCTTGAATACAAGACTGACCGATAGACCAAAGACTCTTAAAAAGTGCCTCATCATCATCATCATCATCATCAGCTTGATTTCATCTACTGCTGGACATAGGTCCCAAGTGCCAATAGTAGTATAATTGAAATAAATGGTTTGACTTTGAAAACATCTTTGGTATACAGAAAAATCTGCTAATCGATATATTTGCTGAAATATCGAAATGGATAAAGGAAATGATAGTAATTCACACTTTAATACGTACAATGTAGACCTTGTGGTTGTAGCGAGGGTTGTAGATGTAACATGCTGGCCTATTGTTGACGTTGCCGACTCCTCTAAAGATGAAGGTTCATTTTTTTCCGATTGAGTAACTAGAAACGGTAGGAAAATCATTATACTTAGGTACTTCACAAAAACCGAGGTAACGTATGGGTAGTTATGTAGTTGCAGAATTTTCTTGAATAAGTACCTATTGTCTTTGTTTGTATAATTTTAAAATACATATTTTTTTCTTAGAACATGCTACTTAATTTTAAGAAGGCAACTTAACGTGTTTACCGACAGGGTTCACAATGTCTGCATAGCCATATGCACAGATAAATTTAAATATGGAACGTAATTTGTAAGAGCTTTATGCCACATACGTGTTATATTCTCTTTGCACATAAGTAAACCGACTTTTATTCCTCTTTCTTTTCTAATTAGGTTGTAGAATCTTTTCAATCATATCTTTCGTGATTCTAAGTCTATTTTTTTCATATTTTAATGACTGATACTATGAAGTACAGGTTTTTTATTATGTACCTAATTACCTATCACATTAGGTACAAATACTCACTGCTGAGCAAAGGCCTTTTCTCATACGCAGAAGGTTTGAGCATCCCCACGCTTGCTCAAAATTGATTAAGTATATGTAATTACTTTTCTTTATTTTAAGTTAAGATTAAGTCCTTGTTTTATATACGAGTTCTATTTTGTTTTTTTTTTATACACTATGTTTTGCCTTTCGACTGTGTTTATTAAAACAGGTTTCCTGGATATCCCATTAAGGAGTAAGCAGTACTTGTAATTGATTTTTCATAATACGTTTTTCTTATATTGTGTGTCTGTACCTATACATAAATAATAAATAAGTTTACTTATATTTAAAGATATACATTAATCGCCAAAAAAATGAGAAATGTTGTAATTTTAGGTTAAGGTCTTTTAGCCGGATTATGTTATAAAAATGTAGCTTTAATATGTATGAAATGATACAGGGTACGTACAATTTAAAACAACATTGTCCGCGTCCAAAATTGGCAACAGAAACCCAGTGCTGCCATCTTTGTTATCCATTGTACTGCTAGTAACTTGTGTTGTTCCTGTTTCTTCTTCTTCGTCATCTAAATAATTAGTCCTGGAAATATGGTGCAAAAGTATAAATAAACGATTCTCTATTATAAATCTTGTTTTTATTTCAGTTTCCTCTTTAGTTTTGATGATGTCTAAAATAATTGTAATAATTTTAATCAAAAGCTTGATATAACTATTGGGAAGTAGTCGTTGACTATGACGAGATTCATGGGTACCTATAAAACGAGATCCATGGGTACCCACAGTGCTGTGTTTCGCCGTGTGAATGAGATTACCAAAGACCTTTCTGCCCCTCCGCCCATTCCTCCTTCGTACCCTAATCCCCAAGAGGCTGGCAACTGGCCTTTAATTCCCCTGGTGCAGCAGGTATCCATGAACAGCGCCGATTGCTAACCATCAGGTAATCCACTGTGTGTATGTGTGTACCTACGTGTAAAAAAAAACTCTTGCCTTTTTTAATTGCTTTTGCCAGTGACTGCGTCAACGTTTCCGGAATCAACAGTCTATGGGTTATTCCAGACTACTTACCTAAATATTATCTATCTCTGTGCCAATTTTGATCAAAAACCATTCAGATTTTTTACATGAAAAATCTGAATGGTTTTATATACCTACCTACTTACAAACTTAAACATTTATAAGTAGGATTTATTACCGTACCTACGTACATACAGTAGAAGGAATCCTTCCATTCCGGAATCCGTTATATTTGAATGTTTATTAAAGCGACTCCACGAGTCTGTAACCTTTAATATCTTTTCCTCTTTAAATTTTTACTGTAGCTTGGTAGGTATTCCTATTCATTTATGATGTAAGCTAATATATTTTAGGTTTTACCTGTATGTGGCTGACGGTTGTCTCCATGTGATGGAGTCCGTTTTGTAGCCCATCGTGCTATGCCAAGCGCTGGTAACTGGGTGTCGAGCAATCGACACGTGCGGTACTAAACCTTGATGTGTGCCTGCAAAAAATAATTTTGACTTAAATTAATTATACTAAAGTTCGATTTACCGTAAGTATGTTTAATTAAAACAAATAATGATTTATGTTTTTCTCAAACATTGATATTAGAGAAGTAACACAAAAAGAAATAGATTACCTATTATAGTTAGTCATCAAAGATGCCTATGCGCGGGTCTGCGGACGGCTAGAGCTAGCAAGGGTAGCGACCAGAACCAAAACCAAGCGTAGGTATAGTGGACAAAGACCACCATAGGGCCGATGATCAACCAGAGTTATGGGAGCAAACGCACTAGTATATCCTGGCCCCAGTCTAAAGCTGGAGAAGGAACGGGGTGCTTTTTAGTCAGTAAAAGCCTGACACTCCCTCTCGCTCAACTCAGGCCTTTTGATCTTTAGAGATCTTTTGATGATTTTCACCACTCATATAAAAAGGAAGTACATCTATGAGATTTTTTTCATCTTAAGAGTAAAAAGCAGGTCAACAAACTAAGATATGAAGAAATTGATGCTTCAGGAAACATAAGTTCACGGCATATAAGTATACCTATATAAGCATTAGATACCTACCATGAAATGAGTAAGCGCAAGCTGAATACAGTAGTGGAGTTACAAGAATGACTGCACCAATTAAAAAGTCATTCCTTTGTTATGAATGGATCTGCTTAGGTAAGTAAGTAGATGTATTATATTGGTGAACATCGCATTTAATGAATGGAACAAACTGTTCGAGTATTAAATATCTTTTACTTAAGGCTCAATAATGAATCCACAGAGTAAGATTGTTCTTACTCCGTGAATGAAACAAATGAATGTTGAATGGAATGAAGTGTAGGAGAGCCAAGCTTCGGCACAAATGGTGATTTTAAATGTATCTAGAAGGTACTGTAAACTGTAAGGTAAGTAACTGTAATTAGAAGGTACTTAATTATAAGTTCAAACTGAAATTATTCAGCTTTCCTCACGATATGTCCCTTCATCGTTTGTGAATGGTGTCTTAATGCACTGATAAAGTGTATAATAATATCTTACTTAGAAAAAGTCACATTAGTACCTACTTGACAGGTTTCGATCCCGCACCTAACAGATAAGAAGCAGGAGCCTTAGCCTACTTCTTATATCTTCTTATATTATCTAAATCCTCAAACTAACCAGTTTTATTAGGTCCAATTTTCGCAAGTCCTTGCAAAAGACTTGCGACGTCATCGATTTTCGGTTTATTACTAACATGTTCAGATCTATTTAGGTTCTTCAAAATTGCGTTAACTGCATCCCAGGACTCAGAAGCTGGTTCCGCATTTCCCAGAAATTGTGAAGTACTATAATGGCTTGTGAATAATATATCATGGGCCGGTGACACAAAAGTAGGATATTGAAACATAGGTAAGGACCTAAAATTAAAAATATACAGTCAAATTTACGATGTAAAACTTCGAAAGGTACCTAGCTACAAACAAATTGAAATATAATTTATCCTCACGTCTTAAAGAATAATGATTGTTTTTCAGCCAGCAACTTTTTATTTTTTTTAAAGTCAAGTTTGTGATCAACTTTATATTTATTTTGTAGACGTTTGGCCGGCACATTAAATACTGGGTAAGATAATCTGAAACACCAACAAAAAACATAGAAATCAGCAATTTAATTATGGCTATATAGAACTTACTAAGGAATATGTTTAAAGTTAAAACTACACAAACAGAATGAAATAAAAGAAGTCGGTTAAAAAGTTTTTTGTTAAAACCTTATTTACTTTTTCTTACTTTCAGTGTATTTTTGTAAAAGAGGACATTAAAAATGTAAATAAGACACAGTACAGCTGTCTTTAAGTACCTGTAGTCTGTTGTGAAAATATCAGGATTGAATTGAACTTGGTACTTCGGAATTTCTGGTTCAACAGAGACGGTAGATCGCAGCGCACCCCCAATGTCCTTATTTTCTAACGAGAATTGCAGTAAAGGCAGCACCTTCGTCTTGTAAGTATCATTAGGCCTAAATAAACATAATTAATTATAATAATAAATTGTCTGTTCGTCAACCTTTTATTAATGATCGAAGTCGTCAACCTATCAAGCAGCGTCAAAGTGTTAGTTTAATGTCTTGCAACTTAGGAGTTTACCTATATTTCTTAGTTTTGTACCGCTCTCTCAAACATTTTATTACTATATAAAAAATAAAAATGCATAAAAGGTATATACCATGGCTTAACATCGACAATTTTATCAAAAACGTCCTCATTGTCGAACAAGCTTTTGTCCGGCAGTCGTCCGGGCGCCAATTCAAGAGACACGTTTACAATAGGTATTTCCACAAAATACTCGACGGGCCGCTCCTCAGAGTTCGTACTGACGTCCGACTCGGTTGTAGAAGTAGTAGTAGTAGGTGGTCGACGAGTCCTTTAAAAAGAAATAGTCGCTATCTACATATATTTTTGCATACAATCCAAACTAATGTTATAAGTAAATGCGAAAGTAACAGAGTTACTTTGTCTTGTGTACGTCTGTCTGTCTTTTCATCACGCCTAAACTACTGAAACGATTTCTGTGAAATTTGCTACAAACATAGTTTGGAATTCGAGAAAGGATATTTTTTATAACAAAAATCTACAGGAAGTCACTATTCCATCTAAAGCTAGTTTTCAAATAAATGCATAACCAACATCTGTTCAAGTTTTTTTTTTGAGTAAGTAGTACCTAGTCACTGTCAAAATCAAGTCAAATTATGAGTAATTATTTATCCATTTAATAGTCCCATACTTCAAAATAATTATTTTCCGAGGTAAGAGAGTCATCAAATGACTTCTCCTACTCCAGGTGGAGCGAGAGAGAGTGTCAGACTTTCTCACTAACTAAAAACAACACCGTTTCACCTCCTGCTTCAGGCCGGGGCCGCGGTTATTGCGCTTAACCCTGGCTCTTCAATGTACCTTCGGTTCAACAAAGTGATATAAATAATATATCCTATAGTCACTTAATCAAGAACACAGTCAGTTTAAGTGTGAGCCATGCTTCGGCACGAATGGGTCGGCTCGACCGGAGTAATACCACAATACCACGGCCTCACAGAAAACCGGCGTGAAACAACCACAGCGTTGTGTTTCACCGTGTGAGTGAGGATACCGGAGGCCCAATCCTTCACCTCGCCCAATCCCTAAATCTCCAAATCCCTAATCCCCAAAAGGTCGGCAACGCACTCGTAACTCCTCCGTTGCGGGTGTCCATGGGCGGCGCTGATTGCCTACCATCAGGTAATCCGTCTGCTCGTTTGCCGACCTATTACATAAAAAAACACACACATATCAAGTACACACACAAATGTACGTAGTACATTTTTTGCTGAAGATACTGAATAATTAAGTTGTAAAATATGTTTATTTTTTTTACCTAGCCTTCGTTCTCGTGGTAGTCGCAGGTTGCGTAGTTTTTATTGTATACTGAATTTCATCTTTCTTCGGGCTCATATCCATAACACGATTGGGCAAGGCGCCCCAATAACCACCGAACGTCTCTCCTAATTCATAAACTAGAAGCTGATTTTTACTTTCCCGACATGATTCTACCAGGTTTCTGCTGGACACCAACTGGATTACCAGTATTATGTTACTACCAGACTCCGTTCTGTTAAAATAATAGAATAGGCACTTATATAAAATATATCAAATTAGGAAACATTTTCACAATCATAATAATAATTAAGTTTCGGTAGCTATTTAATTCACTTGATTTTGTTGTTATTGTTCTACTTTATTTTATTGATATAAATACCTTGTTTCAATATGTAAGAGGTGCAAAATCTTGCACTTTAATCATACCTGACACTAATATAGCAACTGTATGGTAGTTCCAATCGTGAGAACTGCAATATTTTTGAGTACGCGTCTACCACATGTCTGCCAAGAAATACTGAAGGCATCACACGTCTCCGACAGTATTCCGAAAGATCCTTCTGATTAACAAACTTTCGAAGAGTTAACGCTAAATCAGCTTCTTGTTTCACAAACACCAATATTACCATTAAGACTTTTAAAAAATGCGACATTTTAATACTTAGTTAGCAATTCTTCAACAATAGCCATTATGATTGTCTTCATACATACATGGCCATATAGATGCAATAGATACAAAGACCGTTTTCGAAAAAAAAGTCACAACCTTGTATTTTTTTTAGTTAAAATTTTTGCAACAAGTCGGTGAACTACTGAACTAAGAACTTCCATTGACCGTGCGCCTAAATGTACTAGTATAGTGGTTCCTAGAGTGACAATGCGAGCATGTCATGTCATGTAAGTGTGGGAGAGCCATGCTTCGGGCACGAATGGGTCGGCTCGACCGGAGTGATACCACGGCCTCACAGAAAACCGGCGTGAAACAACCACAGTATTGTGTTTCGCCGTGTGAGTGAGGTTACCGGAGGCCCAATCCTTACCCTTCCGAATCCCTCCCCAGTTCCTAAATTTCCAAATCCCTAATCCTTAAAAGGTCGGCAACGCACTCGTAACTCCTCCGTTGCGGGTGTCCATGGGCGGCGCTGATTGCTTACCATCAGGTAATCCGTCTGCCCGTTTGCCGACCTATTACATAAAAAAAAAGTAGATAGGAATTGAAAAATCTCAACAGAACTGTTTACACTACTACCTTCCTACAGTGTGAGATTTTTCAGTCATTTCGTTTATGTAAGTAGGTCCTATAATACTCAGTGAAGGAGATACATACAGAAGCAATTTTTTCATTAGGTATGAGTACATAAAGTGTACCTTCGAACACAATCGTCTGTCGTCTCCCTTGCGCTTATAAAATGCTTTGATGTGCTGCGGTGCGGGTCACGCGACCCCTATCATTGTACCAGCAGACGCGCGACGGCGTCACGCTACTTCATTTTTTACAAATATTATTAGTGAGATTATCGGAAAACATAATATTACTATGAGTAGATATAATATTCATTCAGTAGGCTACAACTGTTAAAACTATTAATTATAGTACCTAATTAATTCATAAGTAAACTAAAAATAACTAAAAAAATTGCAACAAAAATGCATCCGCATCGATTTTAACGAGGAAATTGTCTTTGACTGAAGAGAGAGACCCCATCTGGCAGGCCAGTGAGCTGGCTGAAATTTTTACCCAAACGGTTCAAAATAAACTAAGTTTGGTGATTATTCTGCACGAACCCGCAAAGCGGCACGTCCGCCCATTGTCTCGGGGAAGCTGTACTAGGACAAGTATTTTTCAGACCAGAGACGCAGCTACCATTGGATCTACCACCAGGCCCCCATAATTCGTATGAAAAGTTAATAAAGACGTCCACATTTTTGTTTTGTTCAAATATCAATTCAAAAAATTATTTCTGTTTTCCTCCTTAAACTAAAAAAAAAGTTGGTCATTACACCCTACAGACTCACTACGGACTACGGTATCGCAGATTTCTCGTTTTATTTATTTACTTCAAATATCTATATGACGATAAATTTTTCATAGGACACCCAAACTTTTTATGTTGGGTCCCAAGACATGCTACTCTTCTGCTCCAAATGTTCATCGCGTCGGCGAAACACAGCAACTCAGATTTAAACGAAATCAGTGACCTAATTTTTTTTGGTTAAGGTTCTAGTCATTCCAGCTCTGTGGACCATTTGGTAACACAGCCTAAATAATATTATATAACGCTCATATAAAATAAATTTCTATCAATTGTACCATATTTTATCGACCTTGTTCTAGGAAACATTATATCGTAGAACAGCAGTAGGTACCACCCACTACCCCTGAGACGGATGTGGATATATGAATTTACTTTTAAAGTAAGGAGCCCTTGGTGTCCTTTGCGTCCAATTTAGATGGTGTCACCAATGTCATCATAATTATTAAAACCTACCAATATTAACAAACTTCTACACAACTTTTTTCACATCTATAATCAAATACCTACAAATTATCGCCATCTAGTGTAAAAAATAGAGGCGTAGCAGACTATCTAAAAACCAGCGCTTCGTTCAAAACTTACATTTCAGTTGTTATACAGTTTTTAAACGAAACTCTATGTCTCAAAACCAGCTGATTGTCAAGATTAAAAATTCAGTTCTTATGTCATGTCAAATACGAAAAAAAACTATTAAACACTAAGGTTTATTTTGTGTTAAAACAAAAGTATTTTCTTTGAATTAATGACATAATTGACCGACAATAGTCATGACTATCGCAGAATACATAGCATCTCTTTCTCAAAACCCATATTTCGGAGCGGGTTTTGGATTATTTGGGATCGGTGCCGGTGCAGCAATATTACGACGAGGAGTACAGACTTCTATGATACTATTTCGAAGACATTGCATGATCACACTTGAAGTTCCGTGCAGAGATAAGTCCTATCAGTGGTTATTACAATGGATAACGCACAAAGGTGCTAGACAAACTCAGCATCTAAGCGTAGAAACATCTTTCCTGCAAAAGGACACTGGCCAAATAAAGACTAAATATGATTTCATACCTAGTGTCGGTCAACATTTTTTCAGGTAAATATCTTTAAAGAGCACTCACAAGTATTATGATATATTATGAAACTGGTTATAACATATTTCAGATATGGTGGCACATGGATAAAAGTGGACCGCACAAGAGAACAACATACATTAGACCTTCATATGGGTGTACCTTGGGAAACTGTAACTCTAACAGCATTTGGAAGAAATAAAGAATTGTATTATAACATTTTAGAAGAAGGTGAAATTGCTTATAGTTTTTTGTAACAATACACACATCTGTATTACATAATTTAAATGTAGAATTTAAAATCATAGTAAGGTTGAATTCTGTCCATACTACTGAGCATAAAAATTTATTGCAGCTAGGACAATGGCCCTGAAACAACATGAAGGTATGACTATAATGTACACAGCCATGGGATCTGAGTGGCGACCTTTTGGACATCCTAGAAGACGGCGACCTCTGCACAGTGTTGTGCTCCGTGCTGGTTTGTCAGACAAAATCTTGTCTGATTGTTGGGACTTCATTAACAATCCCAACTGGTACACTGAAAGAGGAATTCCTTATAGAAGAGGTAAATTTAAAATAACGGAACAAAATTAAATATATGAAGTGGCTTTAAATGTAACAATTTACTTTGGGTGTTATATGATGTAAATATTATATAAAAATATTTAATGTTATCCCCTTAAAAATAATAAATAATGAAAAAAAACAATTATGTTGTGTATTTCAGGTTACTTGCTGTATGGGCCACCTGGATGTGGGAAGTCTTCATACATCATGGCACTAGCTGGTGAATTGGAATACAACATCTGTGTTTTAAATCTATCTGAAAGAGGATTAACTGATGATAGACTGAATCACTTACTTAGGTAAGCTTAAAATTTACCTATACACTTTAGGCTAATAAAATGAATTAATAGTAGAATGAAAAACCCCCTCATTTGGTCAACCCCATCTTGCATTCCTTTAATTGCGAGATAAACACTATAAATATCTGTCATACTCAACCCTGTCAGTAGAATTGTTTTTCTTCTCCCTACCTCTGCTATTTCCCGATATTCCCATCCCATACACTTACCTAAAATTTTTTTTAACAAGATCTTTTTACTGCGACATGACTGACACAAACATCACAAAAAAAAATCCCTTTTATACATACTTAGAGATTAACGACAGCTGTAGGTACTTTTTGGAGTTTTATAAGAAAACTGCTGTCTACATTGAGTGTAGTTACTCTATCGTGCCTGCGTCGTTATATTATTATTTATTTAAACTTTTATGTACACAAAAATATGAAACATAAAGTCGAACATAGTGCCTGTGGTATGCTCTATTAATCAACCTTAGAGTCAAGTTGAGAAATCTAAAATGTGGTGGCTTAATTGTTACTTTTTTTTTTATTCAGTGTTGCACCACAGCAGTCAATTATATTGTTGGAAGACGTTGATGCTGCCTTTGTTTCCCGAGAAGACACACCTGCACAAAAGTCTGCGTATGAAGGTTTAAATCGCGTAACTTTTAGCGGACTTCTCAATTGCCTCGATGGTGTTGCGTCAACTGAAGCCAGGATAGTTTTTATGACAACAAATTATTTAGAAAGGTAAGTACCTAGATGCCCAATTATTTGACTAATTTCATCATAGAACCTTTCTAAAGGCCATGATTTGGCCTGAATGAGTCGGCTCAAAAGGAGTGATACCTACCACGGCCTCACAAAAAACCGGTGTGAAATAACCACATGCGTTGTGTTTCGCTGTGCGAGGTTACCCGAAACCCAATCCTTCCCCTCCCAAATCCCTAAGTCCCCGTAACCCTAATCCCCCAAAAGGCCGCCAATCCACTCGTGAGCCCTCTAGTGTAGCAGGTATCCATGGTAGATATGTTCGTTTGCCGACATATCGAATAAAATCGTTTCCCCAAATCAAACTACCCTATTTGTTATTCCGGACTAAGTACATGTAATAGATATATCTGTGCCAATTTTGATCAATATGCATCATTTTTGGTTCCTGTATACCTACACAACACAAAAAGGTCACTTGCGCCGGTTTTCTGTAAGGCCGTTACATCACGCCTCTCGAGTCTGCTAATTCATGCTTTAACATTTCGTGTCATTATGATATGTCCTTCCAACTACATATTATGTCCATTGTGTAAATGTACAAAATGTTTTATTATCATGCAATGAATCGCATTTTTTTTACTATATTTAATACTTTAATACTACCTACCTACAAACCAGGTTCCTGTTTTGTAGCTACTTGTGTACTGTAACATCTAATGATCTAATCACAAGTCTTAGTATGGACTATTCCACTAGATACAGTATCATTTTTGTCAGGACAATTTTCAAATTAGTTATTAAAGTTTTAAAAATCATGAGAATGGATTTTAGGAACATGACCTATTTTTTTTTCATCATTGTCGTCGGTACCACAGTTCGAAACTAAAACACTTATTCACTTTACTTTTCCAGATTAGATCCTGCTTTAATTCGACCAGGCAGAGTCGACATGAAAGAATATGTAGGATATTGTGATCAAGCTCAAATTGAGCTTATGTTTTTGAGATTTTATAAAGGAGACAAAGCACCGGAACATGCTAAAACATTTGCAAAAAAGTAAGTTAATAAATCTTTTTATGTAGAACCCTCCACTATAAAAAATACGTCATAAAGTATAGGTTTGTAACACTATATTTTCTTTTGTTTAGGGTTTTGGAGCAAAACAAGGTGGTTAGTCCAGCACAAATTCAAGGATATTTTATGTTCCACAAGCATTCGGAGCCAGAAGAAGTCTTGTTAGATGTTGAATCCATATGGAAACTTTGATGAAGTCATTCTCTTGGAATAATAGAATTAGAAGAAAATGTAAATTAATTTTATAATGTTTTTATTGTTAATAATATAATACAAATACAACTAATCATGATTCTTCATTGAAGAATGCATAATATACCTAATAACAATGTAGATAGATACTTTAATATACCCTCTTATTAGTACTACAACTAGAAGTGTAGTCTGACTGATACCTTATACATTACCTGGCCTGGTACTCGGTGAAGCGGGGGTCGGGGAAGACTATAAACTCACGCAGATATTCAAACGGGATTGACCGAGCGCAACAACCGAATTCCTCCCGTCGCGTGCTTTGCAGGTACCAAGCCTAAGCAGATTCAGTCAGACCATTACTGTACATGCAATATCATACAGTAGGTATGTTGTATATACAATAATCATAGTGTTCGACAAAAGTTACTTTGAACAAGGATTAGATACAAAATATACAGGTTCTTCACAAACAGCTGGCTTTAGAAAAAAAAATATTTTCTTTTTTTACAATTACATTTTATTTCGCCAGTGGTTGATGTGGATGAGACAAACAGGTAGCCAAAATAAATAAGAAGATCTGATAAAACAGCTCTTATATTACACAAGAAATATGTAGGTAAATAATAAATAATATGCATTCCTAAATTTTTTGGGAAACTGGAAATTTGTTCTAATTCCAGTATTCCTACCTGGAGTTATCGAAGTTTCCTTGTTAAGTAAAGAATAATAAACATAATATCACATCATGGTGTATTAAAAAATAGCAAAATAAAAAAAAACTATATTTTTTTTCAAACTTAAATCTTGTTAGTATTGGTGAGTGTTTTTGCAACGCTGGTGGTGGTGATCCTTCCGGATAGGCGAAACAAGAGAAACTAAATCGTGTCTCGTTTAGACGAAATAAATAATAATCGATCTCAATCGGAAATCGTGCATTAGGATCAGGGCAGGACATTGATCCAGAGATTTTTGATTGAGGTCTGTTAATGATCAATTTCGTCAGTTATCTACCTATAGCCAAAATAATGGTTCAATTCAAGCTTTGCGATAATTGATTGATTTCAGTAAGCAATAGAAATGATTTGTATAGTCATAGACTTCTTGACCATGTTTCCGAGCACTCTCTATTGTTTTAACAGAAACTTCACCACAATACACTTGAAGGATTTCCCATTGCCAGTTAGCAGACATTTGAAACATATCAATACCTAGTTGACTGCTATCTCTAATTTGTAAAGAAAATGTATTCTTAAAACAGTGTAACGATAAGCAAAGCAGTATAGGGGTAGTCTTGTTTTGCTTAAATAATGCTTTAAATTTAATGAGGCAAATAAAATCTTTTGTTATTGCTTCATCTGTACTTAATAATACTATGTTATGAATTTGCAAGAGACTTTTCAGATATGACATAGGCGATTTTGTTTTGGTGTTTGGAAGATCAGCCGTGTCCAGTATTACGTAATCTTGACTGTCATCCTTATCATTACTGGAACCTGAATTTGAATGTTCTGTATTATCTAAATTTAGGGCCGGCATTTGGTTAATCGGCACGGTCGGACGGTCAACTTGCGGCTGTACCAAGACATTCGAAAACACCTCGTCTGGCTTGTGTTGCCAAACTTTATCCATGTGATTCGTCAACATTATACCATTATTTGTAGCAGATATGATTTGCTCTTGCCTAAGACTGTCCAAAGTTTCTTGTGACATTAATTCAGAAACTGGCTTCACTTTAATTCTTGGAGCTGTTGTAGTCATCTCTACTGTGGCTCTGGATGTAGCACTAGTTTTGTCATTAGCTTCCTGATTCTGTTGATCAGTAGAAACTTCTGCTAATGAAGTTGTTGATGCAATGATAGGCATACAGAAAGCTGGTTCTTCAAATGTTCTAGAAGGTAGTTGTCTAGATTCAGTAGCTGGTGCCAACTTCCTAGGCAATTGTTTCGGGTGTGCAACAGGATTGGCGTTTAAAATTATTTTCGAATCTGAATCGTTTGATTTATTATCGAGATATAGTGTGACTGCCATGGGGGGATTAGGATCCGTACCAGGTTTTGAAGACATTAATGACCTATCTGTATCAACCCACATACTTTCTCTATCATTTGCATGTGCATCTGATTTTGTAATTGAAATACGAATGTAGTTCGTGTTTTTTGTACTCACAGGTTTGGGTAACCAGACTATGTCAAGATCTTTGTACTCCAAGTATCTTAAAAGTCCAGTACAATTAAAACCCTGTTTGTTAACAATTTTCCTTCCGATGCTTAAAACTTTATGGTTGAGAGAAACAGTACTTACTTTATCTTTCATTTTCTCTTTTTGTTTATTTGTATTTGAGTCTATTTCAGATGTTTCTCTTTTTTTGCTGGTATATGAACTAACACATGCTGATATCATATCTTGAATTGTTTGATAATCGCTATCTTTTGCTACTATTGGTTGTTTAACTTTCTGTGGATTTTCTTCACAGGGCAATTCACTGTCAGATGAATCTTCAATGTTAATGCACTGACTGTTGTCTATTAGAGGTGTATCATCATTGTTAAATTGAGTGCTAGAGTCTTCTTCCAAGTCTGATAATATTTTGTTACTATTGCTTGCTATAACAACAGTTTCATTGGAACTTCTAGATATAAACCTTTTATTTCTTCTGGTTGGTCTGAATACAATGTGTTCATCATCTGAGGATGAAGAACTATTTTCATTATTTTCTTGCACAACTTGTTGAATATCACTAGAGGAGCAAATAGGATCTTCTTTGGAATAAATGGTACAAAAGTATGAATCCCCAGGAGCAACAATTTTATTTTTATTGTGTACTACCATATCAGGTAATCCAGTTAAATTAGGTTTACCATCAATTTTGACCAGATTTATTTTACACTGTCTTTTCAATATATTTTTATACTTTTCTACAAGGTGACTGTGTGATCGCATATGTTTGGCATATGAATTTTTATTGGGCCAAACAGTATAACACAAATGACATGAGATTGATTTCTTATAAGGTAGCTCCCATGACACCAGACTTCTACTAGTGACCTTCTTTGAAGATTTTCTTTTTTTCCTTTTTAAGTGAGTGTATGACGATCCAGATTCACTACCATCAGACAAGGAAGAATTACGTACTCTTTTCTTAGAGTATTTCTTTTTTTGCGTATTTGTATCATCAGAAGCTTGTTGGCTAGAACTGACAGTGTTTTGTTGGTGTTGAAAAATATATTTTTCCTGGAACATGAAAAAGAAACCTTCAACAAATAACTCAGTAAATTTATAATTTAAGTTTAAGTAACATGTAGTCACAGTGCAGTAACATGTGGCAGATTAGGTCCCTACATAATATGTATGAGGATCCGAAACTTAAGAATCTGGAAGGTGAGAAACATAAATATGAAATTACAATAATAATAATAATAAGCCGGCTGATGTCCCATCTCACTTATATTAAAGTTGTTCAAAGGGCCTCTGCGAGTTGGCTTCGGCCCCTCGTACGCCTTCCAAAAGTCCGGGGCCCTGTGGACCCGTGAGTGGAAAAGAACACACATAATAATAATAATTTCCGTTGTCCCTCTGTTGCTATTACTAGCAACCATTCCCGGGGGCCCGGTCGGTGAGTTGGCGAGTCTCCGCCTGCCATTTTTACGTGTATAAATTACATTGTTTCGGCAGGTGCCATAGTCCTTCCATAGTTCCCATCCTACTAGCCCATAGCAACCCACACCCATAGCCTTGTATTTTGTTTCCATTATCCGCAATAGTCCTACACTAACCGGGGACTGTCCTTGGGTGCATTTCCATAGTGCATACAGGGATAGTCGCCGGTTTGTGTCCCATTTCATTTAAATTAAAGTTGTCTAAAGGGCCTCTGCGCAGTTGGCTCCGGCCCCTCGTACGCCTTCCAAATGACCGGGACCCTGTGGTCCCGTGATTGGTAGAGACATACATATAATAATAATAAGCATCAATTCTGGTAAGTAAGTATGGTTAATTTATTATAGCCTATATAGGGTTTAACAAAAACAAGTTTTAGCCTAATTTTGAACTGCACTCATTGGTTGGCACTAGGCTTGCCCTCTATTATATGCTGCACAAATTTCATGTACCCAGTATTAAAGCGGGTGTTACATTTAAGACTTGCACCTAGCCACCCTTCGGTGAATAAAAAGTAGATTATGTATTTTAATATTTTCATAAAAACATGATAAGGCAGCAAAGCCTAAATCCTCTTCTGAAAATCCTGCCTATAGTAAATGATAGGAGTGTACAGCATAGATTCTTATAGAGCTAATAAAGATAAAAATGACTGCAGGGTTGGCGCAAATTTTGCAGAGTCAATCGGCTAATGTACTGTGTTGCAGGTGTCCCACACAGAACAACTCTTTGTGTGATTGATTAATAGTTGTTCCCAGTCTAATTGTTTTTTTGTATGTGAATTTTAATGCTTTTAAATGCACCCAATGAATTTTGAATGTGTTGTCCTTGTGTGGGGGAAATACACAAACTTTCAACTATGTATTCATAATATTTACCTAACAGATTCTGATACTCACTGCACTTAATTCCTTTCTTGTAACTCTATTTCTCAGGTCTGCTTGCTTTTCAGTGAATAAAGTCTTTATTTCAAAGAAGTTGTTTAAAATGCCTTTACATTTTACACATATTAGCTGAGGCAGTCCATCAAATGGGTCAACCTGAAATTTAAGTTAGAAATAAATTAAACAAGAGATTTGAAAGAATAAATATATTTTGATAAATTATTACTGCCAGTACTTACTTTTATATTAAAACAGTATTTAATTTGTTGCTGGACTTTAGGTACAATTTGATACTGTCCTAAATCACCAAGACACAGACGACAAGTAACAAAGAGGTTTGGATCAACTTTGTCATCCATAATTTCAATCTGAAACAATAATAGCTTGTAAGTGATATACTTTTTAAATATATGTTGAGCCAAAAGCCACTTGCATAGTAGTTTTAAAAAACTACATACATACATATAAAAAATTGAGATACAATGAACAAAATTGGTTTTTAACATACTTGGAGAGCACTTATGTAATTAATATAAAAATTTATAAATTCTTGTAATAAAGAATTAAATATTAATTGAAAATAGCTACAATTTACACAGGTTACCAAATGAATTAAATATGCACTGCGGAATTCTTTTAAGATCACACATAACTTAAATTTTGGTGGTTCAAAAAGGTTAAAAATAAATAAATATCTATATATTTAGATACCTCACGAATATAAATTGATATTTACATTTAATTTAAAATTCCCGCCGAAATAATTTGGTAAAATAGGATATCATTGAACATGTTTATTTACACCAACGTCATAACTTACCATAAACTTCCCATGTGGACGAAAATTGTCAAGAGTTGTTACAATCTCGTTAACATACAAAACTTTTATCTAAACTAAAACACGGTCCATTATCACAAGTAACACAACACTTTCTCTGCATGTAGAACTGTCAATACACATAGGATCCTACTAATCGCAAAACAGACGAGTAAACTTTATAGGTACAAGGTTGTTTAAATGTAAAAGTAGGTATATAACGAGTAAAAATACAACAAACAAAGACGGATAACATCTAAACAAGCAGTCACGAAATAACCAAAAAATACGAAAGGTTTCAGTTTCAACTTTTATGACAAGACAGAACCACTGAGGAAAGTCGGTAACGCGCTATAAGCAGGATAGGGATATACACAGGCGCTATCTATTGCCTAGTAGCAAAACTTTATCGCAAAATACTGCCATCTAGAGAAATATGACAAAACTTACTCCGAACATATCGAAAAATTTTAATGAATTCTCCCTTAAAATAACAATAGATGGCGTTGTTATTAAATGTTTCAGTCATTGTTTATCGGATTTTCTCATATTTCCTTCTAGTTACCTTCTAGGTCAAGTTAACTCAGTATGAAAATGTTTTAAGTAAACTGGCTAAGCAGATTAAAGTATCTTCTATATGAGCAAAACATGTTATTCCGTAGAATTTGTAACGGTACTCACACACACATTGTGATAATTTGTTAAAAAGTAGCATTACGTAAAACTAAATCTGCTGCTTTATACTGCGCAACTACGATTAAATAATTACGGCCACGGCTACGTCGAAAAACTTGCATAACTTTTTTTTATGTTATAAGCCAGCAAACGAGCAGACGGATTACCTGATGGTAAGCAATCGGCGCCGTCCATGGACACCGGCAACACCAAAGGAGTTACGAGTGCGTTGCTGGCCTTTTGGGGATAGGGGTTGCGGATATAAGGATCGGAAAGGGATAGGGGAAGGGGAGGGATTGGACCTCCTGTAACTTACTGCTAAACTACCACAAGTTGGCCTCGAAGAAGTTAGGTGTACTCAAATCATCAAGGCAGTAGTTATTTCACCCAGGGCATCGCAAGGCGCAAGTTCGGCCCCGTATGAAATACTGTGCTCATCTTGAGGCAGGGGCACCCCAACTTTTCCCTCTTTACCGCATTCAGCGACAAGCTGTTCGAATCGTTGATTGGTCGTAGAGATGTACTCGTACTCGTAGCCTTGCTATGTGTTCCCTATTGCATACATATCACGGGGAATGTTCAGTTTGATTCTCGTCACATCTTTTCGCCGACGTTCTACGCGAAAACGTTTCCATCCTTATAACAGAGATGGTAGGCAGTCAACAACTGTGCGATTTACTGTGCGCCACGCACAGCAAAGCTTTGTAACGATCTTCCGGCGGCGATATTTCCGAACCGATAAGACCTTTAAATCTTAAAAAAACGAATGTAATCCTTCTTAAAAGGCGGGCAATGCGCCTGTAAGTCTTCTGGTGCCGCAGGTGTCCATGGGCGGCACCGGTCACTAACCAGCAGGTGATCCATTTGGTCACTTTGAGCTTACCCAAATTTTAATTGGCCTCAAATAAAGCAGCACGAGCCTATCAGTTAGTCAGCATTCGAGTCCATTTGTAAGTGTAAGTGCAATCATGCGAGCTTTTTTATTTTGTAATTAATTACCAGACATTTTGCCATCACTCCCGGTAGTAAGCTATGATGCGATCTACAATAGAGTACGCATACCCATAAACAACTTATTCACTCAGGCTTTGAGGACACTCAGGTTATTATACCCTTATCTGAACAGGATTGGGCGAGAGGCCACGGCAAATTGCCACCACTGCGCAGGTGACCTGGATTCCGCACAGCACACGCTCGAGGAGTGCCCAGCGTGGGCCTCTGAGCGGCGGGTCCTAGTCGCTAAGATCGGGCGAGACTTGTCTCTGCCAGCAGTAGTTAGGGCTATGCTGGCAGATGCAGAAAATTGGAAAGAAGTGGAAAGGAGGCTGCTGAGCGGAATCGCGAGAGGGCCGATCCTACTCGTAGAAGGCGTCGCGGAGGCAATCGCCTTGACGCCTAATACGCTGAATCCCGCCTGCATGAAATTCAGGCGGACCTTTGGGGTCACGGGTGCATAGAGAGCGGACTCTAGGTACTCATTCAGTGGTTCCAGAGAAGACGGTGGTACAGTGGTCACGTACCGCCGTACACAGCGAGGCTCGTGCTCGAGGGATGTGCCGTCACAGGCGTTTCACCGTGGGGGTTCCGGAGTAGGTCTCTTGTAGAGGACCCGGTGCCCCTTACAGGTGATGAGGGAGGCGACCGGGGTGGTTTTAGTGAGGTAAAAATCCCACACTCCCTAGTCTCTCACCCCAAAAAGCTAGGCGCCTTCTGATGGTTTACCCCCGTTACAAAAAAAAAGTTATTATACCCTTTGGGGAACACACACACTAGGGCGTCGTCGTTGATGAGCAAAAGTCGCACCTCTCAATATCTTCTCATGTGTCTAGCTTGTGATTAACCGAGCCACCCCAAAGATGAGAGCAGAATAATATAGGACTTACACGTAGTTATATTAAGCAGTAGTTCCGGCGGGAAGTGGGACAAGATGGACAAGATGCTCAACATCCTACTAGGTAGTTTTTTTTTTGTATTGATCAATTACATATCCACGTACTCGGGGTCCGTGCCCTTGACAAACAATATCCAGTAAAGATTACTAAAATTACATATTTGAATAATACGGATTTTACATACTACAACTAAACATGTAATCATTATTTTTTTAGAAAAAAAATAACATGTTACATTTAAATATCTACAATAATACAATCTAATTTACATTACATTTATCGAAGGCTCTTCTGAGTCAGCTCACCAACACGCTGGGTGAGCCGACCTTGCTCCAGCAATCAGCCATCCGATTAACCACTTTTTGGCAGCCGAACAACTCAACGCCGCCGACTATATGTCATTTTTAAGCATATGACGACTCTGCCCACTCTATAATGTTCTGACTCCAGCAGAGCTTACAACATGTCATTATGTTAATTTGTTAATTAAGTACGAATCGTTATTTGCTACATTACGTTATAAAATGTCATAACAACCATTTTGTGGACGTCCCGCACATAATTCACGCTGCAGATTTCCCATTACAAAGAGCAATCCCTTCTTCAATCCTTCTCTATGCTCGATGGCCGTTTTCAGGTTGTGATCCTTAATCCTTTGCTCGCTCTCGTCGGCCGCCCTTCTGATTAGCTTCCTTATATCGTCGTCATTGTTATCAATGTAGTAGATACAACTGTTCGTGTGACGCGATATTGCTAATACCGCGTGTGGTACGCTATGATAAAGGTTGTCTCGATCAATGAACGGGAGCTGATTCATGTCACCGACAAGCAGAATTTGAGCTAATCGGGCGGCCATCACAATGGTCCCAAAGCGATTCATTAGAGCCTCATCCGCTTGAAACAGTTCCACTATCCAAGTCGTTTTCCTGAAATGAAACAATGATCAGGAGACCACTTTAAGTATAAAAAGCTGCTTGATCCTCAGGATTGATGCTTGATACTCGTTGTGCAACAGACCAGTGCTCTACCAGCGTAATCTTCCAAGCATTATCTTTGATATAACCCTCCCAAGCACATACCTACTCTGCCTGCCTCCAAGCCTGGTCATAATCCTTACCATTCACAAGGGGCACAAGTATATGCCATTACTTTGCAGTTTGGCAAATCATGAAATACAAACCTTTCACGTCTAAGAGAAAGTGGCTTCCATAACTCTTACCTGTGGCACACCAAAATTTAGGGATATTGTGTGATTTACCACCGTAAAACAATGAGATCTTTTTAACAATTAGGAACGGAGCAACATCAGTACAATTCCCTGTATGCCAAGGGACAATTTTCTTAGACAGTACAAGAGAGATATAAACAGAGTTGAATGCTTTAGACAGATCCAGAAACATACATAAAATATAATAGGTATTTATCAAGATTCTGTTTTACATATCTATAGAAAATAGAGCACATTACGTAGAACTATATTGAGTCATGCTTTTCCCCGAGCCAGAACCATCGAGAACTAGTGGCCCTATTTGCCCCACCTGCCACACTGTATGTTCGGGTGTTGCATGCATGAGTGCACGCACTGCAAGCAGTCATGTATTGCATCCTGTCAACAAACTGCTGCTATAGAAGGTTTCCCAGTAAATTCGCTATGCACCATGGCCTGAACCAAGAGTGGGTGCGAGATCTCTCTCCCGCTAATTGCTTCCTCGTAGCGATGACACTTGGTCGTTTCCTCCCAGTGAATCCGAAAAAACACCTCTCATGAGCTTCCATAACATCGAACCCGGGCATTGGTTGACACAATCGTTACTTCCACTCCACCATGTGATCGCGTCGGAGCTCACCTTGCAATACAAAGAAAGTGTCGATGGATGCGATCCTATATACCGCTGCACCAGCCCGATTATTCTTTGCCGCGTTCCGTGTAAGGATGGGAGGGGGAATATTCTTGTAGAATATAGTACGATGCTCTCTTATGACCACGACATGTATCGCTCTTTGTGTTATTAGCAAAACCTGCAGGGGTCATCCGTGGTCATCAACCCCACGATCCCCCCAGTAGTCACGTATCACAGGTTCTCGTACTCCCTTTAACAGAATCGAAAGTGCATCCTCAGTGCATATGGGTATTGTGCGATCCATGGCCCTCTATACAGGGGGTGTAAGCGCCGGACTTGAGGCGGCGATCAGCTAGCAGCGTACGCTGGTTGCGTCCCAGAGGGTCATGGCTATCCGGATAATCCGCGGATATAGCACGATCTCTGGAGAGGCGGCGAACCTCCTTGCCGAATCACCACCGTGGGATCTGGAAGCAAAGGCGCTCGCGCGCGTATAGTTTGCGCGCAGACGCGCGTCGCCGGGGTGAAGATCCTCTGCCGCGCCAAATTACTGCGTGGTGGAATGAGCTCCGGCGAGATCTCATGGCTGAGTGGAAACAACGACTGTCGCAACCGAGGGCCGGGCACGCTACCATAGCAGCGGTAAGACCCCTCTTTGAGGAGTGGCTTGGGAGACGCCACGGCGTCCTCACCTTCCGTCTGACGCAGGTGCTTACCGGGCACGGCAGCTTCGGTAGGTTCCTGTTTCGGATTCAGCGGGAGGAAACGCCCGAGTGTCGTCATTGTGAGGAACACCTAGAGGATACGGTGGAGCATACGGTAGCGGTATGCCCTGCCTGGGCTAAGCACCGCCGTATCCTCAGGGAAATGATCGGCGGCGGCGACCTCTCGCGCCCGGCCTTAGTCGAGGCCATGGTGCAGAGTGAGAGGAACTGGGACGCCGTCTCCTCCTTTTGTGAAGCAGTCATGCTCGTAAAGAGAGAGGCGGCCCGCGTGAGGGAGCAATCCTCCTCCTCACGCCCCAGCAGCCGCAACTGGCGACACTACGGGCGTCGGGGATCGAGGGACGATCTCCGGCCACCGTAAGCACGGGCCTGCGGTCGGCCCGAGCTTACGGCGCGTAGCGTTCCGCGCGCGCCTCAAAGAGCCATTCGACCACCACAGACGGGGCCCTAAAGGGCTGATGTTCAGCCGGGGTTGCGGGGTAAGCGCAATGAGGTACCGCGACCTCGGCACAGAGCAGGAGAAGGAACAGGGGGGTTTTTAGTCAGTAAGAGTCTGACACTCCCTCCTGCCCGGCCCTGGGCGGGAGAAGTCATTTGATGATTTTCCCCTCACAAAAAAAAAAAATGGCTGAGTGGAAGCAGCGACTGTCGCAACCGAGCACGGCACGATATTATAGCAGCGGTAAGACCCCTCTTTGAGGAGTGGCTTGAGATACGCCTCGGCGTCCTCACCTTCCGCCTGACGCAGGTCCTTACCGGGCACGGCAGCTTCGGTAGGTTCCTGTTTCGGATCCAGCGGGAGGAAACGCCTGAATGACGTCATTGTGAGGCACACCTAGAAGATACGGTGGAGCATACGGTGGCGGTATGCCCTGTCTGGGCTGAGCACCGCCGTGTCCTCGGGGAAGTGATCGGCGGCGGCCGCCTCTCGCGCCCGGCCTTAGTCGAGGCCATGGTGCGGAGCGAGAGGAACTAGGAAGCCGTCACCTCCTTCTTTGAAGCAAAGAGGGAGGCGGCCCGCGTGAGGGAGCAATCCTCCTCCTCACGCCCCAGCCACCGCAACGGGCGACACTACGAGCGACGGGGATCAAGGGACGATCTCCGGCCACCGTAAGCGCGGGTCTGCGGTCGGCGAGTAAGGGTAACTCGCCGCCCGACCAGAACCAGACCCGAGCGTATGGCGCGTAGCGTATGGCGCGTAGCGTTCCGCGCGCGCCTCAAAGAGCCAATAGACCACCACAGACGGGGCCCTATAGAGTTAATGTTCAGCCGGGCTTGCGAGGTAAGCGCAATGAGGCACCACGACCTCGGCTCAGAGCAGAAGGAGCGGGGGGGGGGGGGTTAGTAAGAGCCTGACACTCCCTACCGCCCTGCCCTGGGCGGGAGAAGTAATTTGGTGATTTTCCCCTCACAAAAAAAACCCTCAGTGCACATGTAGTTATGAGCTGGTTGCCACCGGAAATTGAAGCATGAACAACACTTGGTGACAAAAAAAAGCGTGTTTTTTTTTAATATTGTAGGTCGGCAAACGAGCGACAGATTACCTGATGGTAAGCAATCAGCGCCACTCATGAGCACTTGTAGTACTAAAGGAGCCACTACAAATACGTAGCTGGAGCCCGCCTCTTGTGGGATATTCGAGATTTATGGATGGGGGATTTGAGAATTGAGTGGGGAGGGGGGAAAATTGAACCCGCAAGTTTCTTTGAAGCCGTGGTATCAAAAAAGCGAGAGAGAAGAAGATCTCGCTTCCGGCTGTAGTGTCTACTATGATCGGGAGCGAGACAGGGTTGAGTACCGTCGCTACCTTCTGCAAGGCCGTGATGCTCGCAAAGGAGGCATCGGAAGAGAGAGAGGCTGCCTCTTCTCTTCCCTAGCCCTATCTCTCCACGTCTAGAGCGTCTGGTGCGGACAGACGCAAGCAAGAGATTACCCGCAGCACCTATACGGCCGCGACCAAGTCACGGTACTGCACGGCCAAAGTTGGGCATCAACATTACTCCACAATTTTCGGCCACTGTACAGTAGAGTGACCGACCTACGGCCACCGTAGGGCGCGGCCTGCGGACGACAGACTCTATGGCGTCTTGTCATCTGATCAGCAGCCCAGCAGGCCTCGAGACGGCTCATAGTAAAGTCCTGCGGTCGGGGTGACGAGCGCAGTGGGTGACGGGGCCCGCCTGACTATCTGGCGGGTCAATACTCGTCGGGGGAATGCGATGAATGGTTCGGCGATACCCGCCCCTCCGACACATGGGTAAATAGACGAACACCGGGTTGGTTTTTGTCAGTAAGAGTCTGACAGTACTCTTCGCTCTTCCCCCAGGGCGTTGGGTCTCCATGAGGATTTTCCAACCTGAAGCAAAAAATAGCTCTCATGTTTGGTCTAAAAGTCGAAGGTTTAATATGTACTCTAAATTGCGGAGTAATGTTAATATTAAAAAAAAAAAGTATATTAATAAAAAAGACTCAAATATGTTTCATTATCATACTATTCGAAACCCATCTGTATATTGTAGAAAACGTAAAACAATTCAATTTCCGTGGACAACATTGATACATTTGAACATCCATATAAGTAAAAATGGATATTAACTAAAAACTAAGTCTTTGGCATTTATCAATCGGATAAAATCCCAACCAATGACGATATAACCACTTTGATCCTTTGATTTGATTGATGGTGGTTATAATCCTCTTCGATCCCAACATTAGTGAATTGTCCTCACCTGTATTTTCTATTCCGTGGTCCTCACAGTGACGACAATGGCAAGGTAAATA